CACTCTTTTACACTATTGTCAGATAACCCTAACATTTCTGTGATCTCAGAGTTAGCTTCTGATTGTCTTTTGTTCACTCTTGGTTCTTCGTAGGTCTTGGTGTGACAGGCAGCTTTCTATTGACACCTGCACACAAACCTTACTACTAACATTCCCATCACAGCCCCAGCAGTGGGGCAAGGGGGAGTTCATGTTCTCACTTGTCCTCTACTATGCCAGGGTGGACCAGAACCAGTGTTCTGGCTCCCACCCACCCCTGCTGACAACCCCTGGCTTTGAGGAGCAGCTGTCCTCTTCAAAGCTCTCCCAAGACCCCTGCTGACACATTGAGCAGGACTGGAATGCCTCAGTAGAGCGTAGTGAGGTGGGAGGCACCTAACATACCCTCTGCTATCCTGGAGGAGGATGGCCAGAGTAGGAGATGCTGCCACAGGCTTTCCCCACCTTTGTGAGGACTCTTGCTTGTCCCCATCTGTTGATATCTCCATCCTGCAGCCTTCTCTGAGTATGAGACACAGCAGAAAGGAAGCCCATGCAGAAAGAAGGCCCTGGACAGTCCCCTGGTCCTTCTGGAGCCCTGCTCTTGATGACCTGCCTTCCCAACAGTGCATCTTTTCGTGTCTGCAGCAGGTGTCATATCCATCTGTTGCATGGGATCTGGGGGAAGCCACATGTGCACACAGTGTTTCCATGATGTGGCACTAAAACCAGTCCTGCTTCAAGCCAGGCTTGGACAGAGGCCAGGGTCGACCATGCCTGTTTCTTCTCAGCCTCCCCTCTTAAAGCAAGTATCTTGCTGCTATTGCTGAGCTGTGACTACAGGTCACAGGCCACCTGGGTCTTCACCTCTGTCTTACATAGTCAGCTAAGTACCTCAGTGAGTCATGGAGACTCATGCCTACCCTTCCATTGGTAAAGTGGAGAGACAAAGGGGCTCTCACCACAGCATAGGATACTCAGTAAGACCCCACAGAAATAACATAACCCCTGTCCTGTGTGTACATTTGTCTGATTTCTGTGTCTTTGTGATTACTGGAGAGAGATTAGTCAAATGTAGCTTATCATTTCAAGGTCACAGATATCTTAGACAACAGTCCATCTTGCCAGATCTCTCCTCCACAGGCACACTGCTGCCTAGACATCACCCCTGAGGCAGAGCTTACATGCAGTATGCCTTGGGATACAGCCAGCAGGCCCAGTATCAGATGGGGGTATCTGCAGTTGAGCTGGGCCCTGCAAGGCTGCTCCTTCAGGGCTGCTGACTTATACCAGCCAGTCCAAGACACTGTGTCATTCCTTGCAGTGGTCTCTGCCTCAGACCTTCTGATACTAGCTATTGTTCATCTGAGCCTACCCCCACTGCCACCTTATCTCTCTTAGTAGCCCTTTCTGTCTCCTTCTTTCTCTTCACATCCTGGTGCCATCACTTTGCTCACCTTGTTCTTTTCCTTTGTTAGTGGTTGTCTCTACAGAATTGCCAGGTCTGTCTCTAGCCAATTATGGTACTTCAAATATGTGTGTATATGCATATGCAAAGGGCAATTCTGGGGATAGTGCAAAAGGTCCCACACTGAGCTGTGGAAGGAGGTCTTTGGGTTCTGGGACAAGGGGGTGGCATGTGCAGAGCTCTGCAATGGGGTCTTTGGGGTAAAGGGTGGATGGCGAGGGAGGTGCAGGGAGTCAGGTTGCTCTGTGTGAAGGGCAGCCAGCAGGGACTGAGAGTGTGAGGAAGGCTGTGTTGGTACTGCTTCTAGAAGAGCAGGGGCTTGGATTCCACGTCCAGATTCAGTGACTGGAATGGGAGGAAAGAGGAGAGGTTTGGGCTTGAGCACCAGGTGGAAGTGCTGAAACAGATGGGTGAGTGAGTGCCCTAGCAGATGGGAGGATTGGGAGCTCCATCCTTGCACCATGTAGATGCAGTGTGGTCAAAAAATCCATGCAACTGGACCAGCCTCCTGCAGTAGGAGTGGAGTATAGGACATGTGCTGGGCTCAGGCACATGTGTGGACAATGTTCCCACAATGTGGCACTGGAGCCAGTGTTGCTTCAAAACATGCTTGCACAGGCTTGCTGGCCAAGTATAGGCAGAAGCCAGGGGTGACCATGCCTGTTTCTTCTCAGCCTCCCATCAGGTTTCTCCAAAATATGTTAAACCCAAGCCCTGAAAATGGCGGGGGGGGGGGGCTTCCAGAGAGGAGAGGGAGAGACACAGAACATGTCACTGGTCTCACATGGCTGCAGATGACTGAGCAGAGCAACAGGCCTTGCTTTCTGCTGAGTTCCCTCCAGGAACCACCTTGGTCCTTAATTTCCTGGTGGCCCTAGAGCACCGAGGGGACAGCCAGTGTGAGCAGGATGGACACATGGCTTGGGGCACTCTCAGGTCACTACAAGCACACAAGTACCTAAGAACAGAAGATGGGTACAAGATTTCTCTACCCCATGCCTGCCAAGAGGGCTGTGGTCCAGGTGCTACACTGGAGTGTGGTGAATCCTCAGGACTCAGTCTTGATCCCAGTGACCTTCCCCCTCCCCAGATAGCTCCTACCCTTAGCTCCTGAACAGCTTCTTCCACCCTCTGTGGCCTGTGTGACAGATCGCTGCTGACAGCTGGAAGACGGACGCACCCGGGGCAGGCACTGACCCACTTTTTCCTCCCTGCACTGGAACATTTATGTAACAGACGGCTGCAGGGCTGTGCTGTCCCCCTGGCAGGAGGAGATGTCTTTAATTAAAAAGGAGGCAGAGTCCCATATTGACCACAGCATGATCCAGCTCTTTGGTGCTAAGAAATCAGCCTCACAGAAACACAAATTTGTAAGAAAGGCTCTGCCTTTGGTCACAGATGTCTTTGTAGACATGAGTGGCTATTTGGGACCAGGGAAGCCACTGGAGCTGGGTGCTCCTCCTGTTGTGCAGTGCATCTTCACAGGCACCCTGCTTGGGTCTGGTGTTCTGCAGGCAGCATGCAGATGCACTGGCCACAGAACCTTCTCTCTGCGTTTCTGTCGGGCAGCTAGCAGCCACTCAGAGGTGCCCAGTGAATTTGGTTTAAAGTGTGAATAGCATGTGCGGCTGTGCTGGACTGTGAAGACAGAGGCATTAATGTGCCAGGATGATCTTAAGCACTCTTTGCTGTGTAAAACCCTTGTTGAACGCTATTAACCCCCTATGTTAAAAGCCTCGTGGTTCAAGAGGATCACTTTGCCACGAATAATGATGAAAACTAATGATGTGGGTTTCTGAGGCAGTTGGGTGTAAATTCAAAGCCCAAGTATCACGGCCCCTTATGGCATGAAAGAGGAGTGTGTCTGTCACCGTCACTTTATATGCTGGGGATCACCGATGCTCTCTGTTTCTCTGCTTTGTGTTCGTGTTCTCCTTTTATCACATTTTCAACAGAAATATTTTGGTGAGATAAACAACTTTTGTCCCAACTTTCAACCATCAGCGCTCCTCCTGGTTATGTCACACAGTGTCCAGGTAGCCTGCTGAGTGGGACTAAGTACACACAGTCCTCAGGCCTGCTCCTGAAGGGTCTGCTAGTACAGCCATTTCCCTGGGACAGTGTTGTCACTCAGTGAAAGTGTGTGTGGCGAGGACCTTCTTGAGGATAGTCTCTGGTTCATTCCAGGACAGCACAGCCTCGCCTTTCCTCTTTCCCAAGACTCTGCCCACCTCTCAGATGCACATCTTGGCAGGTATACAAGGCCTCTGGAGGTGGTAGCTTCCTACCCCATGGGTCCCCGGACACCTATCCTGAACCTTACATGGGACTTACCTGAACACTTCCCACCTCAAGCCAGCCTGTCATTGTCTACCATTTGGCTCTTTGCTATGGAGCCACCTATGCCACCTTGAGGGGCTGCTCTCTGGGTCCTGTGGGGGCCACCTACACCCATGTCCTGACCTGGGACCTGTTCTGCTCCTCTCTGTCCCTGGGCATACCCTGTGTCTGTTCCCTGTATGGAGGGACTAAGAACTGTCCTCTCCTGGGCATGAGCATCTCTCACCTCCTTGCCTCCAAAATCCTTGTGGACCCCACTCCCTGTCCTCCCTGCCCATCTGTCCCTCCCTGCTGCCCTTTTACCCCCTCTGGGGTACATCTGCAGGCATAGCTACCCATAGTTGTGACCGGGCAGCAACTACATCACCACGGTGAGAGTGGCCTGTCTTCATACATGGGTCTTCCTGACAAGAGGCTGGCTAAGGAGCTCATGGGGAACTCTGGTGGGGTGTCCAGAAGTGCAGGCCACTCGCCAGCAGGAGCCTGGACCTAGAAACCCTCAAGGACATAGAGTTGTCTGTTATTTCCTGTGAGCACTTCCATTGTACCACCTTTGACCCATCTTTGCAAATAATGGAACTCTTAATGTAATGCCTGCCTACGGGAAGCAAGAAGAAGCACAGGTCTATGCTGGGGTGAGGGATCTCTGACAGCTCTGACTGAAGGACTCCAGCAGTTTGATTTGGCAACTTTATGGTTGGAGACTGAGTCCATATTAGACAACAAGGCTATCAAGGACTGTGTCCCTAGATACAAAGGAACCAATGGAGTGCCTTCCTGTGTTCTTGAGGGTAAGGCAAGTGGCCTTTAAGAGAGGGTCCTAGCATGCCGGGGCTGCTTCTGGTGTAACTGGAAAAATGAGCAGAACTAAGACTACAAGAAGAGTTGACTGGCCAGGCCCAGGCAGCAAAATGGGCTCTCCTGGGACCATGCTGAGGCTCCTAGGCTCTCTAGCTTCTGGGAAAAGTTCTCCTGTGACCCTCTTCACAGAGGAGGAGACTGGGCCCAGCGGGCTTGAGTAATCTATCCAGGGGTGCCATGGCATGAGACAGCCTACCATGAGCCACAAGGTACTCCAGGCCCTACAGGTGAGGCCTATCAGCACATGTGGTAGTGATGCTAGCACATCCACTACTACACAGGAGGCTGCAGTTCCCACAGGACAGGAGTTTATCTAGCCACCAAAGATCAGCAGCCCACCTTCTTTTTTCAGGTGACGCTATCTGGGCCCCATCTATCCTTCCTCACAGCACCCTCAGCACCTTAATCCTCCACCCGCCACATTTTGGGAGAAAGATGGAGTCCAAGGTCTCAGAAGGCGGCCTGAATGTGACCCTGACCATCCGCCTACTGATGCATGGAAAGGTACAGAGTGGCCAGGGGAGAAAAGTGTGTGACACTGGGGTCTTTTCTTGGTGTTTCTTCTCTGAGCCCTCAAACCAAACCTTTGGACCATACACCCTTCCTCGAACCACTCCAGACACAGTGGCCAACCCATGCATCCCTGATCACTCCAGTGGGCCTTCCACAGGCTGCATACTCTCCCTCCAAGTCAGGGAGTCCCCACCAGTACCTGCTGTAGCCCTACTGCTTGCCAGCCTGCACACCGCCCTCCTTAGCTAGATACCCAGCATCTGAAACACTCCCTTGTCTTTGTCTCACTGGTTAAGGTTTCTGCCTTGATTTTGTGGTGTGTCCCTCACTTGGCCTTGTTGAATATCCCCTTGCCATTGCCAGGAATGTCCCAGAAGCCTTCCTGTCCATGGCCCAGATGTCACTGTGATGGCATTTACATTGGCCACTGGATGGAAGGTGGATCAGGGTATTCTGTGGGGCCTGCTCCCCATCCATTGTCCTTGGACCTAATGCATCTTTTCTTGCATCCCTATCTGTGTGGGCATGGTTGGCATTGTTTCCCACACCATCATGTTCATAGTGTCCTTGACCTGGTGCTTCCTGAGCCCCCTGACATATTCCCACCATTCCCCAACTCTTAGTTTTCCTTTCATGTCTCATCTTGTTCTTTTCTGTCCTCACCTGGAATCAGCCCTGTTTCCAGGAATCCTGTCTCCTTTGAGTAAACAAAATCATCACTAGGAGCACTCTTTGCCCCACCTGGGTTTATAGAGGGAGCACATGCCCAGAATGTCATGTGAGGTGGGGAGAGAGACCTACCTGTCCTGCAGGTGGCAACACCACACAGGGCTCTCTAGAGGTAGTGTCAGTGCCCTGCACCTTTTCGCAGCTTCAGCACCACCATGCACTCCTGGGAGGTGAAGCCAGCCTGTGACAGTTTGGGTGGGGGTCAGGGTCAGCCTTGCTGCTTGGGAATGGCTGAGCACAGGGCTAACAAGGATTTGAAGGATGTCATGGCTGGAAGTTGGAGTGGCCCTACCTCAAGCAATATGCCACAGTGGCACAGATCTGGACTTTACCATAGGTAGAGATGCTGTGACACCTGGCTCAATAGGAGCAGGCATCCCCATGGGTCAGATACCACTACAGCTGTGGCAGCTGGGCCAGTGCCTTTAAAACAAGCCACAGCAGCCCCAGTGCAACTCTCCTGGTATCAATATCTAGCCAATTTCACTTTCCACCTGGTCCTTGTGGGTCTTCCTGAGGCCATGAGTGTATGGGTGCTCTCCTGGTCACTGACCTGGGGTGCAGCTGGCCTGCCCTCCTCCTAGGCCAGCTTCAATCATATCCTCTTGCTGGGTCTAAAATATCGGGCAGGATGTGACTTAGCAGCAGAACATTTGCCTCATGTATACGAGGTCTAGGGTGATCCCCAGGTCACAAAAATAAATCAGTAAGTAAAGTCTACCCTGTCATGTGAGGAAGATAGGCAGGTTTGCCACAAGTATCCCAGAGGCTTTTTGTCTCTGACATCATCTTTCTGTGATTTTTTTTCCTCCACAGGAAGTCGGCAGCATCATTGGGAAGGTAATTATTGAACAAATACTACCTCTCTTGGAGTCTCTATAAGGATTAGCAAAAACACCAATAGCCCTGGTGCTACATGGCCCTGGGCATGCCCCAGGCATGTAGCCCAGTACAAGAGAAAATTAGGATCCAGATATTCTATGAGGTCCTCTCCAGGGAACCTACTGCTTCAGGCTGCAGTACTCTGAAACTGGCCCTAGCCCCTTCTTCCTTGGCCAAACAAGGCCCTATGGTCGCTTTGACAGTGACCCACCCCTGCCCTACTGCGCCCCATCATCTTCTGGCATGGGACTCCAACATTCAGTAAGGGTCCCATAATCTGAGCACTCTCACTCCATGAAGGCAAAGGCCTGTGAGGAATACTGCTGTGTGTGAGATGGGGAGAGGCCAGGGGCAAACCTTGCACCTCTTGTGGTTGTGCTTTGCCCAGCTCAGGAGCTCACACCAACTGGCCTAAGCCAGATCCACTTCCTCTTGCTGTGTGGAGTCACCAATGCCTCATCTTCTCTCTTCTTCTTCACTCTTTCTCAGAGCAAGTGCTTTAGGAAGTCACTGTCTGTGCAGGATGGGGCAGCTGAGCCTGTGCAGTCCTGTCAGGTCCCCACAGCCCATGGACCATCTTCCATGGGAGGGGGCGCTAGGTCAGGTGAGAGCCTGCCACTGACAGCTATGCCATTGGGTAGTATGCTCACTTCCCATGCCACCCTTCTCTCTGGAAGGGCCTCAAGGTTGTGTGTGAGGGTCTGCCCATGAGTGGAAAAGCCACCACCCAGGCCAGTGGGAGGCAGGCAGGTCCCCTGCCGTGCCCTTGCCTTGCCATGTTGATCATTGTCTTTGGTGCATAGCAGACATAGTTCCTGGTACACAGGCACATGAGGGCTGTGCGGCGTCCACAGAGCTGCCATTGACATCTTTCCTTGTTTCCATCTCCATTCCAGAAAGGAGAGACTGTGAAGAAGATGCGTGAGGAGGTGAGTGTGCTTAACCTAGTGACAGCTGTTGCCAAGTTGGGGCCTGCCCCATGGGCAGGGATGGCAGGGCCTCACTGGGCCAAGGACCAGGACCTCCTCTGACACCATGCGTGCAGAGGATCAGGCATCAGGTCCATGCTCCCTGAGATACCACTTGGGCTCTTTTTCGCTAATTAAAATCTCACTGTGAAGGAGGTAGTGGCACATGCCAATAATCTTAGTACTTTGGGAGACTGAAACTGGAGGATCACAAATTTGAGTTCTGCCTGTCAACTTATGATAGTGAGACCTTGTCTCTAAATAAATAAATAAATAAATAAGGCTTAGGATATAGTGTCAATCCACAGTGCTGTAATTAAGGTGGGGGGGGGAATGTGCTGAAAGAACTCTAGTGTTACAGGCAATGTGTTTGTGGTGGGCATTGTCTACCAACTTGGAGAAACCAGTTTACTGTTCCCACGGCTTTTCTCTGTCACCACATTTGCTCTGCTCTTACCCTAGAGTGGTGCCAGGATCAACATCTCAGAGGGAAACTGTCCAGAGAGAATTGTGACCATCACAGGCCCAACAGATGCCATCTTCAAGGCCTTTGCCATGATTGCCTACAAGTTTGAAGAGGTGAGGCGTGCCAACATGAGACTATATCAGGAGGCATGGGTGGCTGTGGCCCCACATTTTCCCTAGACAAGGAGATGGCCTAGCCCTGCTCAGACACTCTGCTAGGCTACACACTATGCTCAACCTCTTCTGCCTTTGGTGGTGCCCTCTCTGACTCTGTCCCTGTCTATAACAATCCTCCACCTAACACAGACCCCTCCAGCAGGCACACGTGAGAGAAGCCCCCTCACTGGCATTCCCCAGACACTAGCCCCCAGCATCTGGTACAGCCTCAGAGCCCTCTGCTCCCCACCAGGACCCTCGGGTGCTGCTGACCCTGGCCATAGCCATGACTCCCACCATGGCCCTCAGTGAAGCTCTGGCCAACATGACTCTGGCCTCAAACACATACCACATAGCGGCTGCCCTCCAGGGTGCTCCACAGCTTGGCTTACATACAGACAAATACTGTGGTACTGCACAGAACATCCTGTGCTGCTGGACCACACACATGGTACAGATGCAGCACTTTTGTGCACCTCTTCAGAGCTGGAGCTCCGAATTCTCGTGTTTCCCTCTAGAGTCTTTATCACAGAGGACAGTCAATCTGGGGGTGCATGCTGTTGAAAATGAAGAGTGACCACTGGATAGACAGATTTGGAAGAATAAACAGAGGCCCCTCTAAAGAGCAAAGGCAGGATGTAGACCCAAAGATGACTATGGCAAAGGGGTTGGCACCATCACCTGTCAAAGCAGGCAGGGGAGGGACTGCCACATGACAGCAGAAAGTTCACAGTGTGCCCCAGGAGCAGCTGGAGGCTCCCATGTACATGTCTACTATCCCTGGTTGGCCCTAAGTGGGGATGGGGTGAGCATTATGGAGGACCATGGAACCATTTGAGTTCTCACTGCTGGGCTGGCTCCCACAGAGATATGGACCGGTGCCATTTTGTTACCTATGTCCTGGCCATCCCCAGTATGCGTATTCAGTTCCTCAGCTTCCCCTTGTAGTTGTTCTCTTGCTTGCTCGAGGTTTGCCCACTTGAAAAGGACCAAGGGTCAGATTCCCAACACGTGATCCAACTGTCATCATAGTGACCTGTCCTGCAGAATAATCTTGGCCTTTTTGCCCATTATGTGACAAGAGAATACCTGTGTGGGCACTCATAAGACAGCACCATGACCATTGTAACAGAAACAAAAACTTTGAAACCAAGAGCTCAATGCCAGCTCAGGTCAGGAAGACTAGGCCCAGAGACCATGAGGCCCAGCTGAAAAGGCCTTAGAAACTTTCTTTCAGGCCTACATAGCCTGCTCCATTGATCCTTGTCTAGCAGGAGATATTAGCAATATCAGTGAGAGTACCACAGCTAGCCAACAAGAAGTCTGGAGCTGGCAACTGCCCATCACCACTTGTACCAGGACATGGGGACCATCTCTCAGCCCCCTAGAACAAAGGCCTGTCACCAGTCACTTCTACCAGATCCTGCTGTGGGTATTAGCCATCTTCTTTCATTATATACTTCCTATCAAGCCTCTGCTCTCGATGTTTGCTGAGTGAATGGTCAAGGTGGCCTTGTTTTGGGTTACAAATCTGAGTCAGAATTCCCCACCACAGGGATTTCTGGGATTGAAGTCTCTGAACACAGAGAAATCTCAAGACCCTCTTCTGCAGTACATGAGGTGTCAGTTAGAGGCACACAGGTCCAGATGTTTTCTGACCCCAAAATCAATAGTGTCTGGAGGGGGCGCATGGGGATGAAGTTGTTGCTCAAGGCAGGTGGTTAGAACCAAAGCTTGCGCTGTCCAGGTCACTGCATTAATCTCTTCTGTTGCTTCTTGCAGGCCGTGGAAGTTAGATTTAGAGTCTAACTGCCTGGCTTTAACATGCTCTCATTGGCTTGAACCATCAATGGTACACATCACTGTCCCATCAGGTGATTTGTACCACTCTAGTGTAAATGGATTTAATTTCTTTTATTGTTCTTTTTGCTAGTAAAGTTAATAACTGAATCTAGTTAGTTGCTTGAATTTAAATAATTGCTGGCCAAATATAAATATTTTAGTACTATTCACACCAATTAAAAATTATTGCAATAATCAACAACTTTATGTCATTACATTGAAAGCTTAGTCATATTCAGGAATAGTTTATCAATAATTAATTCTCTAAATTTTAACATGGGAATCTGACAAGTACCCTATCACTAGTGTTTGTAATATGCATTTATACCTGCTGTACCACAAATTAGCTGTAATTTTTATGCTATTTGAATGTTTCCCTTAAGGAACTGTAGAATGATGACATGTGCCCTGCTAAGTTAATGCCTTCCTTTGCAGTATTAGAATCAAAAAAAGACAAAAAAAAAAAAAAGAATCAAAGACCCCTGAGAAGCGTTACAAGCCACCTGCTAAGGCAATCAGGAATGTACCTTCAGTGGCTCAAGCCAACAGGAGCAATCAAATTCAAATCTGAGCTGCCTGGCAACAAGACATACTTATGGCCCTTGTGAACATGTTAGTTGTTTGTTGTTTTCCTAGGAGGATGAGAAACTAGCAAAGTCACAGGTAGATCTGTGGAGAGTCAATTGCCCATGTCAGTTCAACCTATCTACCGCAATTCCCTAGCATCTGAGTGGGTGAGACCAGAATTATCAGAAGCCACTACCCAGGGGCTCTAGTGACCAATGGCATAGCTAGGCATTGGTGAAATTGAGGAGAGTAGATTCTGTCTGGGGGAAGGTATATGTTCCAGCCTAACACCACCTATCATTGTGTAAAAAGAAACAAGGACCCTTTATGAATGCATGACAACCAAGGACCTTGAAAAGAAGAATGTGTTAGATTCCTGTCACTCAAAAAAAAAAAAAAAAAAACCTGAGAAAACCGACTTATAAAAAGAAGAGGCTTATTTTGGCTCAGGGTTTAAAGATTCCAAATTTTTGATTGGTGAAACCCTGTTTCTAGGCTTATGGTTAAGTGTGGGTAGTGCATCATGGCAGGAACACATGATCTAGCAGAATCCTTCTCAAGGCTGAGCCACAAAAAAGGAATGAATGAGAGACTGACATCCCAAAATCTCTTTTGAGATCCCAGTGACCTAAAACCTTCACTAGGCCCCCAAAGTAGGCACCTCTCAGTAGTTCCAAGCTAGGAACCAAGCACATGCACCCTTGGGCGACATTCCACATGCAAATCATAGCATTCTGTGCATCATCCCTGGAGGCTCATGTCCATCTCAAAGTGCAAAATGTATTTGTTCCATCTCCAAGAGTCCCAAAAGTCCAAGATAAACTCTGCTGTGAACCCACCCCTGGGGGTGAGGGTGAGCGCGGAGGGATTATACAACTTCCAAGAGATAATGGCTCAGGGTAAATGCTCCCATTTTAAAAGGAAGGAATAGGGAAATAATAGAAAAAATTCGGCCAAAACTCAGCAGGACAAACATTAAATCCTGTAGTTTCCTGTCCAGCATTGGGGCATGATATGACCTCCAAAGGACTTTGGCAGCTCTGTCCCATGGCCTTACTGATGACAACCCCTGTGGCAATCTCAGATTGTCTGCTCACTGCCTGAAGCTTCCTTGGGAGGCATCCCGTAGCACTGGCGTTCTACCTTCCTGGGGTCTGCACTGAAGCTGCAGTTTCATTCCCACAATTTCACACATCACCCTCTCAGAGGCTGGTGACATGGACTCTGATCCTGCCACTGTCACACACTGTCTGGCCTCCAAGGCCATCCTTTGAAATCTGGTGAGCCCTCCTCCATGACTCCACAATTTTTGTATTCTGCATACCTGCAATACCAGCACCACATGGACAATATCAAGGTCTGTCCCCAGTGTGAGCTATATCTGGGCTTGCTTAAACCATGGCTGCAGTGCCTGAGTGCTTTGCTGACTCAGGAAGTCCTGGATGGCCAGGATGGTCCGAAACTCTTTAAAAAAAAAAAAATTCTGCCCTGGAGAGTCTTTGGTGTACATTTGGTGTACATCTTGAGCTTATGATGGCTGAGGTCTTGGCAATTTTGAGATTCCCTCCAGGTATCTTTCCTATTGTCTAGGGCAAAGTACTTGACTTCAATCTAATTGTGCTGCTCTCTTTAGTACCTACCCACTTCTTGACTATAACTTTAAATACACTCCTTTCCTGGACAAACTAAAGTTTTTCAAATCTTTCTGCTCTTCTTTTTGCTCTTGTTTCTCATTGTAAATTTAGCAAAATAAGCAGCCAACTTATTATTGGTTAGTAACACCCATGCTGCTGCCTGAATACAGTGCTGCACTGGTTTCCTCCACCAGATAAATTAGTCCATTACCTTTAGAACCACTCGCCCACAAAATCTTAAGGCATACACAAAATGTAGGCCAAGTTCTTTTGAACAATGTTGCACTGGCAGCCCTTAGTCCAGTTCCCAGGAAAGTACTCATTTCCATCTGAAACCTCCTGAGCCTGACCTTTGCTGTCCACATTCCTATAAGCATTCTAATCTTCTGTACACAGGCCAGGACCACCCATTAAGCTAGGCTCACAACATTCTCAGCTTTCTCTACCTCACTTCTCCAAACTTCCTATAAACCAATTCTGAAGCTTCTCCACATCACCAGGTATTGTCACAAGTGCATCCCCAATTGGAACCAACTCTTATGTTAGCTTTCCATTACTGTAAAACTACCTGAGAGAACTTAACTTACAGGGAAAAAGCTTATTCTGACTCTTAGTTTTGGAGGTTTCAGCCCACAATTGAGCAGAACGATTGCTTTTAGGTCTCTGGTTGGGATGGGAATGGTGGCAGCACATCATGATAGCTGTGTAACCATTTATCTTGTGGCAGAGATGCAAAAGGATGGGAAGGAGGGAAGGAAATAGACAGACAGATAAGATAGACTGAAGTCTGCCACTGAGCTATACCCCATCCCTGCTCATGCTGACTCAGCCCGTGCTGGTCTGTCCTTCCTTCTCCACTAGCACCCTTATCTCACATGTGCATCTACCCAGACCTACAGGCATCTGGCTGACATCTCTTTGACCCTTGAGTCTGCCCTAGTCTTGAAAGCTCAGTGACTGCCAGCCTGCTGTGCTCAGGGCTTCTGCATGAGCATGAGAGCTCTATAAACTCTGTCCAGAGTGCAGAGAGTGCAGCAGGGCTGGCAGGGCCTGGGATACTGTGTGTACATCCCCAAGGTTCCCCCAAACCCTGCAGCTATATTCACCAGCTGGGGGCCAACATGTGTCTTTTCTTCCCTAGGACATCATTAACTCCATGAGTAACAGCCCTGCCACCAGCAAACCCCCGGTAACACTGAGGCTCGTGGTTCCAGCCAGCCAGTGTGGGTCCCTGATCGGCAAAGGTGGATCCAAGATCAAGGAGATCAGGGAGGTATCAGGACACTCCCAGCCCAGGGTGGGGTGGACAGTCCCAGTGGTTGCAAAGACCCAGCCATCATGTGCACATCCCCTAAAGGTCTGCACTTGCTGGTACCAGCCATGCTGACTTGTGTAGCAGGGACAGATAATCCAATAAGCAAGTTAATGGTGGGATGTGGGGACCTCACTGTGTTCACAGACGTGCACCATAATTCCTTTCCCAATGGAATCCACCTTTCAGTCTGGCCTGGAACTCCACAGAAAGTATTGAATTCTTGTGTTTGGAATCAGCAATTCTATCTCCCTGCAAATGTCCCTGGGTGGGGCATGGTTCTCTAGAGAGGACATACAGAAGATGGGGTGTCAGCTTCCAGTGGATGTGGAGGGAAAGTAACAAGGGGATGATATGGGAGGAGGGTGCAGTTTCCAGTGGAGGAGTTTCTGTGATTCCCACCTTCCCAAAGATTCAGGAGGTGCTGTTCATTCTATGCATACTCCCTCCCTCCCTGTCGTTCCCCTCCCAATGTCTCTTCTCACCAGTCCACAGGTGCCCAGGTCCAGGTGGCAGGGGACATGCTGCCCAACTCCACAGAGCGGGCAGTGACCATCTCAGGGACCCCGGATGCCATCATCCAGTGCGTCAAGCAGATCTGTGTGGTCATGCTGGAGGTACAGTCTGCACACTGGGGCTGGCACACATCACCAGCTACCCTTCACTCATGCTAGGCTCACTGAGTGTGGCTCCCTAGCATTGTCACAGGCTCTGGCATCTCGCTTGTCCTGAGGATTCACAGTGGACCATCAGGAGCAGATGGGTCCCAGGCTACTGGAGGGGAGCCAGCATGGTAATCAGGCATCCAGGGTGGGACTGCCATACTCTGTCCCAGGCTACCATCTACTGTGGCGGTGGCAAGAACACTGCAGTGAGTGGGCTTACCCTTGTCTTGCAGCTGGATAGAAAGCTCTGGTTCTGGCAAGGGTTCAGGAAGGTCAGTCTGAGGAGTGGTACCATCTTCCCTGAAGGCAGTGGAGTGGAGGTGGGAGCACAGCCACTTAGTCCCTCATCAAGGTCCGGTTGGATTCAGAATGGGCTACAGGGCTGCCACCAAGTGGAAGAGAGAAGGAAACAGAGGAAGCACAAAAGCAAAGATAGTGCGGCTGGCAAGGGTAGCTTGACCACACTGGAGAAAAAAGCCCTCGAAAATTAAACTTCAGCCAGCACCCTAAGGCATCAAAATTCCTAGTCCTCTTCACATTGCCGTGTGAGATGTGGGTGTCAGCCTAGCAAAGAGGTCCTGCTCTTGGTCCTATCATGTAGCACTCAAAGATGGGGCAAGGCCATCTCACCAGCGGAAGAAGGTTCACCCCATGTGAAAGCAGATGGGCCTACTTCTAACTGAAGAATAACTGGAAAACGTAAGCAAAAGACATTTTAAAGACCTCCATACTACTGAGCATGGTGGTGCATCCCTATAATCGCAGCACTCTGGAAGCCTGAGGCAAGAGCATCACAAGTTCAAACTCAGCTGGGCAACTTAGACAGAGTCTCAAAATTAAAAATGAAGAAGGGCAGGGATGCAGCTTGGTACAAAGGCTTTAGGTTCAATCCCCTAAACAAATATTCCTTGTCAGCTCCTTTTGGGTTTGCTTGTGGGGTGTGCCTCAAACCTTCAAAATTATGGAAGGCCTGTCCCATTACAGATGAGGCCGGGGTGGGCCTTCCAAGATGCCTGCCCACTCCTGGGACATCAGTGGCCCATGCCAGAGATCTGTCCTCTATAGGTGAAAACAGGACTTGGGAATTAGTTGTCATCCCTGCGTGCTTCAGGATCAACACAGGGAAGTCACATGCTGGGCTGCACTCTGGGGAGCAAGAATGAGGGCTGGGGTCTGGAGGACCTGGGAGGGGAGGCAATGTGGGCATGTACAGGGTCAACTCCGGTTCACTGATCATGTTCCTTCCACAATGAACCCGAAGTCTGGCTGGGAAACTTCAGTGGGCCCAGAAACACTCAGAGACATTTGGTTAGGGCTCAAAAATGCAGAAGATGGGTCTCCGCAGAGAGCCAGCATCCCCTGACCACGCAGCTCAGACCCACTCCACAGCCTGTCCCCTCCACAGCGAGGTCATCACGGTAACTGGGCTGTATCTTGCTGCCACCTACCCTGTGGAGCACAGCCTATCACCATAAGGTTTCCAGTGTGAGGAGCTGTCCAGTCACACCATGGGCCTGAGTAGGCTGCAACCCAGAACTGCCTATGACTGTACTGTGCTCTGGGTGTCCCTCAGGCTTTACCACTTCCCCAGAAGTTGCAGGAGAGGCCCACTTGGAACCAGAGAGGGGCTGCTCACCTCTGACACAGAGAGAGGCTCAGGCAGAATGCTGGTACCCAAGAATGAAATTCACCTGGGATAAGAATTCCTCAACTTGCACATGGAATGACCAAAGAAAAGTATAGCAAACCTCATCATTATTTAATACCTCATTTGGCATCTGCAAACTTTTTTATGTGAAATGTGAAATCACTGCTTCTAACTTGCCTATTGCAATCTACTGCTGGCCATTGTGGGCCCACAGAGGGCATTCAACATCCATTTCTATGGCAGGCTGTGTGCAAGGCTCAGCTTCTTCCAAGACTTCATGAGTGTTTCTGCCAGAAGACACTGGGTTAATAGATTTTCCCAGCTTGTAGGTTCCACATCCCCAAGGGGCTGCATTGGGAGGAAGAGACCAGGCAGGGAGAATAGCACTGCAAAGCCATCCTCAGCAGCCACCGTCCCCCAACAGGTGGCCCACTCCAGACAGACCCTCCACACTGCACAAAGCCACAGTGTCCTGCTGTGGGCCACACTGAGGGGTTGTCCAGTGAGAAGAAACTGGAGAGAGTGGGTGTGAGGCTGTGGGTTGCACTCTATTGCCTGTGTGTGGGTGCAAGGGCCTTCCCTGTACTACTGTGGCCCCTGCAGCCCCCAGGACCTGAGCCACCTCTGGGGTTGGGGGCTTTGCAGAGGGACGGGCTTGGGAAGGCAGCCTGTGGCCAACAACGAGGCTGCTCTAACGTTCTCTTTCCCTCTCCTGTCCCTTTTCCTAGTCCCCACCGAAAGGTGCCACCATTCCCTACCGCCCAAAGCCCGCCTCCACCCCTGTCATTTTTGCAGGTGGTCAGGTAAGAGCCGACCCACTCGCGGCCTCCACTGCCAACCTCAGCCTTTTACTGCAGCACCCGCCGCTGCCCGTTAGTGCACTCAGGTTTTCTCGCCTTCTCACGTGCACGTCTCCCACCACCGCTGGACACAGAGCTCTCAGCCAGCCCCAGCAACAGAGGGGACAAGAGAGCCACTGGTCCCTCAGATACTTCCCTGAGCTCCATCCCTGGGCAACACCAGGCAAAACTAGCATTGACCTCTTTATGAGCAGCTTGGGTAGAGCCAGAGAATCCTGTGTGACTTCATGGCTTGTGCCAGAAGCCATAAGGATTGTGAGAAGTAGGATCCTGTTTTCTCCTAAAATGCACATTCCATTCCCAGGCCCACAACACACCCACAGCCAGAACACATATGAGAAGGTCTGGCCTATTGTGGTGGGGCTGCCCCAGGTCTCTGCAGCCTGTCCACATGGACAACCAAACATCTGCCAGGGTTGGCCCAGAAGAGCTCTGTGTCCAGTTGGTGCAGTGTGTGTCTTTGTCCAAGGGAAAGTTGAGATGGGAACACCCATTGGTGACCCAGCCAGGGGAGAGCAGGTTCGATGTTCTACATTATCATTAAAAAGAAAGAAAAAGGCAAAGTAAGCCTCCCTCATGTTTTTCTTCTTTGCATAAAAGAATCTTATCAAATCTTGCAACTGAATCCTTCTTATATGGAGGGAAGGGAGCCTTTGCTCCCATTCCCCACCAGTGCCCAGGCTCATCTTCACAGCAAAGGACTAGGTGTCCCTGGCGGCTATGCTGATTGCCTCCCTGCTGGTGTGAGCCCCTGTGTGCCTACACTCTCAGAGCTCCTCACACAGAATAGCCATTTCCAGAGAGGAAAGCCAGACCTGGCCAGGCAAGAGGCCGCCAGCCTCACAGGCCCACTCTGACCTCAGTGAGCACAGGTCACATGGCTGCAGGTCCTGGGCCAACTCCTCTCCATTGCTTCCCCAAACTCATGCTTTTGGCTGGTCAGGAACTTCAGGTGCCACCTCAGGGTTTAAATGGTGACATCATGGGGTGAAACATGGGTTCAGGCAAAGGGAAGGTGATTCCACAGAGTGAGTAAATCTGCCATGCTACAGGGCTGGGCCCTAGCCCCAGCTGTCACAGGAGACTCCAGCCAGTGATCCCAGCCCCACCACCTGCCCCTACCCTTTCCAGTAATAGTAAAGGTCTCTGTGCCAGGGGTGCTTGTCCCTGAGGCTGTCACTGAAGTGTTCGCTTTTTCAATCAACCACCATGAGATGGTCTGGCTAGTGATGGCCTTGGCTATGCCCCGGGCCAGAAGCCCACAAAAGTGCAAAAGGCAAACTCAGAGTGAAGGTATGACCCTGCCAGGTTCAAACCCTCAGCCGCCCAGAGGCAGGATGCAAGGAGACTACAGGCTGCAGAGATCAGCGGGGCATTGCACCGGGGAAGTTGGAGCTGCCAAGGAGGGCACAGGAAGACACAAATGTAAGGCAGCAGGGGAGAGATGTCAGGATAGTAGATGGCCCAGGATAAGCTGTTAGCCAAGCTCAGCTCAGAGCTGTAGGACAGAGAGGACACTGGGCCCTAAGTGTCCTGGGGCAGTGACTCACACAGGTACACCTGCCTGTCAGTAACTTCACAAAGCTAAGCCTGGGTCTCCAGATTCCGTGCTTGCAGGCAGTAGGGCTCTCTTTTTTTAAAGGCTTCACTGTATCTGATAAGATTCTTTTACTTCCTCTCTCCCTGTGCTTTGGGGTGGCCAGATTGTGGCTTCTCAGGGCCTTCCGCCTCAGACTGAGTCTGTTTCCAAGCTAAGCTGTGGCTGGGTCCCTGCCAGGTGCACTGTTAGCCCTGGGGTGAGCCTGTTTATGATGAAAACGCTCAGCAGATACAAACCTGTGGGAAGGTCTGAAGGGACCTCCGAAGTATCCCTGTAAGGTAGCCAAGGAGCTGAGTATGAAATGAGTGGGTTTCATATGGGAGCCTAAATCAGAAAGGCATAGGGCCCATGCAGCCCTAACCAGGCTGTGTGGCACCCATGCCCAGCCCTTATGGCTCTCCCTTGGCTCCGTGTGGTTGTCTGTTGTCCAGTGGGAGTTCCTGCATCTTTGGAAGGCACCTTAGCTGAAGGGACTTATGGGGCTCTGCTGTCCACTGGTGCTTCTGAGTGAGCTAGAGTTTGGGAAGCCTACAGGGTGGACTGTCCAGCCAGCCCAGGCACAGATATGAAACAGGGAATATTAAAACCAAAGGAGCCAGTAGGACCCCAACTGATCCTCCAAAAGAGATGCCCTCCCCACCTTCAAGGGCTACAATGAAGATTTGATAAGAAAGTGACAAATTGGGTCAAACCCGTGATCACTTTAGAGTCATGTTTTTATTGAATCTGGCTTTTGCAAAACTGGCTTGGGTCACCTAATAAAGCTTTTATTTTTTTGCTTGGCTCTCTTGGAGTAAAGGTATTTACTTTGGTGACTGGTTAATTATCAGTGGGCTTCTTTCTGGAGTTCAAACAGATAGATCATCTTTAGATCTTTTTGAAAGCTGAGGTGGTGAGGGTCGGGAGCATTGAGGCCTGACCAGTCCCTTCCTTCCCACTGGCGTGGCATTCAGTCTGCCTTGGCTTAGAGGCAGGGTGTAGCTCCTGGGGCGCACTCGCCTTGTGCCCTCCAACCCTGGGAGATTCACCCTTTGTCCCAAGCAGGTGGAGCAAGTGGACATGCATATGTAAAAGAGAGAGCTGGCACTAGACCATCCTTGTCATGCAGGAGAAGGTTGCCAGTAGGTGACAAGCTAAGGTCCCACCATAGCGTGAAGCTGAAGGTCTCTCTCTCTCTCTCTCTCTCTCTCTCTCTCTTCCCAGGCCTACACGATCCAGGGACAGTACGCCATCCCCCACCCGGATGTGAGTTTTCACTTTGTCTCCTTTCCACCCTTCTCTTATTATTGTGTACCTACCTGCATGCTGCTGTTTAAGTGCTACTAATATTAATATTACACAATAATATTAATCAGTTTTCTCAGTGTTCCTGACGTGTCGTATCCATATGACCTGATAACCTCTTATCCTCTTAGCACTAATTCTGCTTGTGTTGAGGACTTGGCCTGATGTCAAATTGTTTTGAGGATCTGTTGCAGTTCAGGGCCTCCTTTCCACCCCTGGGGCTCTTGGAAGATGGTGCTGTCCTCACCCTGTCGGAACCGTATGTCTCCCTGAGAAGTTAGGCCTTCCAGGGCCACTTGAGAAGAGCCTCTCAGTGCCTGAACAGTGGAACTTCCCAACAGTCCCCACACTGAAGCACTAAGTGCCCCCTGCAGAGAAGAAAGTGCTAACAGCCAGCCACCCTACTCTCCTTCCAGAGCCAGGGAGAGGCTATATGGGGACACAGGCATTCTGGGTTTCTTCCTGGGCCATTGAAGCTGGGCCTGTCATGCTGCCTGTGACCAGTCTCAGTATAGGATTTGTGTTGGAGGCTGATGACCTCATCCTGAAGGACCTATTGGGGAGTGAATCCTTGCCTGCCTCTTGCACCTCATGTAGCTGTTCCTTGTGCTCTTGGGTGCAGGGGACAGTAGGGCACTAGGGCTCCAGGGGGTGAAGGATGGCAGCCATGAGCAGGAGGTTACTCTTGAGAGGTCATTAGAGACACCATGGGGGCAGTTGTGCAGTTGGTGCTAAGAAAGGAGTTAGAGAGAGCCAGGGAGGGAAGCTCATGCGTGCTGCCAGTTGGTCCTGAGATACTTTCCCTTGTAAGCCACTGTGAATGTTTGTCATGTTGGGCAGCTCCCCTGGAAGACCCTGCAGCGCATCTGTTCTGTGTCCTAATACAGTACCCAGGGAGGCTCCACCATGCCTGCCACCTTCCAGGCCCCACTGACTATTTGCTCTTGAAGCAGGCAGGAAAGAGACATTCACCTGGATCAAGACTTAACTAACTCTAAATAAGTGTTTGAAATAGAGATTCAATTCACCACCATTGCAGGAAATTTTTCTTTTGCATGAAAAATAAATAACACTATTTTTCCCTTTAATCTAGCAATAACACACAAATAAAATAACAGAGAAACACAAATAAGGAAAGTTCCTTCTACCCACAGTCTCACCAGTTAATTGCTCCTAGTTCCAGACCTTGGCCAGTCCTGCAGGATCTCTGAACCTGTAGCATCTCATTCTCAGGTGGTTGACTGTAGACACATCATCCTGGGTTGTGTGGTAGATGAGCTGGGGGCACCTGCCATGGTTCTCCAGTCAGAATGCCGTGGGAGGCTTTGCTCAGCTGCTCAGAGCTGGCATTGCTTATGCCAGGAAGACCAGGTCACTGAGGATGGAAAGGGTGGAGGCAGGTGGGGCTGGAGCCTGACTTGCAGGATGACTGGTCTTCACGGCATGCTGGGCAGGGCTGTCCTGCACAGACAACGACAGGTTCCAAAGCCTGGCTACTTGAACACGGTGGTGTCCTAGCATGCATGGACAGCAGCAACCCTGCTGAATGAGAAGAAAACTTGTCTACTTCAAAGATAGTGGCTTCAAAGTGGGACCCACAGACCTGCAGGGACCATTCAGCAAACCTGGCGGGCTTCCTGTGACCACAGAGTCTGAAGCACTCACTGGCCCTTTGGAGGTGCAGTTGCTTGTACTGACCAGAGTATTTCTGGCCTGAGTTGCAGAAGCTAGGGTATAAGTCTCTAAGAGTGAGAGGTTTGGGTTGGTTCTTTGGTTAGTGTTTGTGTCTATTGACTGTTTTGCGTTTTTCTGTGTGACTTCTCTCAGTGTCTCTACAATGGGTAGTTTACCAGTTCTTTGTTTCAGATTAGTAACATAATTGACTATTAAACCATCTCCACTTGTGTGTAGTAAGATCCAATATACTTGAAGTTTAGATGTCTGTCCCTGTGCAACTCCTACATCGAAACTGAATGATGGAGGGCTCTGCAGTGATGAGGTTGTGAGGCTGCTCTCCTGCTGGGACTAGTACATCTACCAACTAAGCTTCGGGGAGCTGCCCCCTCTATCCCCTCCTCCATACAGTGTCCAGGGCCCTTGCCAAGCACAGGACCCAGCCTCTCAACCTCAAACCTGGACCTCCTTACAGCTTGCCTCGTGTATGGCTCTGTCAGAGCAGTGGGAACAGGACTGAACCTCCGTCTCTACCATACAGTGGTTTTTCTGGGGAGGGGACTGTCTTCCAGCAATGGTGTATGATTTGTGAGAATCATGGGGGTCTCCAAAAGTGTCTTCCTTTCAGACACATAAAACTGAGGACCTTGGCAATACCTAGAATAATCCACATAAAACAAAAATAGAATGACTATTTAGTGACATAGAACAGGCCACACGCAGTCTTTTTCTGAACATAGTAGAGATTAAAAGCTTCAGTTTCTTAGAATGCATATATAATTATAGGAATATTAATTGCATGTTATAATGTAATTTCTTACAAAGTTATCTCAACTGAAGTGTCTGGGTAGTATCATTTAGCCACTTAATTTCTGTGCCAGTCTATCAGGGATGTGTTCTTTAGATCTGAGTAACTAGAATGTGTACATTGCATGCAACCAGTTTCAAGCAGGGCCTCAAGTTGGCCCTTTGAGAGTCATCATGCGTTGCTACACCCAGCTCCCCTGGACACCACTTGATCTCTCTGGCCTTAGATGCCGTAAAGAAGCATGAACGGTGGGAAGGCCGAGGCGATGCCCATCGTAATCAGGTCCTGCTCCCTGGACAGCTACCAGCAGCCTTGAAAAATGTGCATGCACCTTGGCCTCTTGCCATGGTCAGGTCAGGTGCACTTCAGAAGCAGCAGGGAAAGAACACAAGTTCTGGGATCCAGGAACAGGTGAAAGGAGCATGGAACCTGGGAAGATTCAGTGCCCCTGCACCCTCTATCTCTGTGGCTTCCTGACAGCAGTGCAGTTACACAGGAAGGAAATACTTTCCTCTAGAGGAAATTACACATACCTTCAGCTTACAGTGAGGTCACCCCCAATAAATTGTCATAAGTTAAAAACACATTCACCAGTTCACCAATGTCCTAAGTTAGCAAGACAGCACAATGTAGGCTGTCAGCTTTTACTGTATGATCTAGGGACTGACTAGGAGCTGTGGCACACTGCTGCTACCCTACATAACACAGTGCTAATCACCTACCACCACCCTGTGAAAAAGTTCCAAGCTCAAAGTGCAGTCTCGACTGAATGCATACTGCTTCAGGCCATGACAAGGTCAAATCACCCTGACCATGAGACTGCAACGAACTTCAAAAATACTTGTATGAATGAGTCTTTATATCCAGCCTTTGCAGTTTCCAAATTTCAGCAATACTTAGCATCCCATCATTTAAAAGGGATGCTGAAAGCAAGCAAAAATAGAAACAGTGGCACCTCAGCATTCGCAGAGATGCTGCTCTGTGCTCTCTTTCACCTTAGCCTGTGCCATCTACCTGAGCACATTGCTATTCTGCCTGAGTCAGGACTGCCAGTTTCACACTAGAGGAAGCAGAGGTCCCTTGGCAAGGCTGAAGGGCATTGAGTATGAAAGCACACCATGCATGCTGCAGAGGACATTAAGTCCACTGGACTTAGAAGGGTACCAGGTTGTTCTCTGTTGGAGCATCATGGGGAAATTAAACTGACATGTGTCACAGCAAAAGAAAGCCTGGGGGGGCGGGGACACAGCCAGACCCTATACTCATAGTGCTTTCCACAGGACAGTCACATGCCTCCAGGGCTGAATGTGGTCACTGTGGAGAGCAGCCATCCACATGCTGCAGGTCACCATGGAAGCTTGCCCTCTTGCAGGCTCAGTGTGTCCCTCCGTCACTCTGTAGGCAAGTGCATGAGAGCGATCTTCTTGTTGACGGTGAAAGAAGAAAGAGCTGACACCTCAGTTCATAGCCACCCTGCTGATGGCAATGCCCCTGAGCACTGGGCCTCTGGCCTCCCCACCTGGAGTTGGGCCACTGGAAAGGCTTCCTTTGGCTCCATTGCTGCCTCTGAGGCCTCCACAGTCACCTTACAGAACCAGTGGCCCAGGCAGCCTTCCCTGCCCCTCCCTTCTGGGATCCAAGAAAAGCACAGCACCTCTCCGAGGCAGTCAGGCGCAGCATAGTCTGCTGCGTGGGACTTCCCGCTGCCCCTGCACAGTGGCCCTTCCTGTTCACAGCCTTGAACAGTGGGACTTGTCTGCACAGGAATTCTGGGAAATTCTGGAAAAGAGGCTGACAGGGAAGAACACATCACAGGAGACACCAGAATGGAGAGGGGACTGAGGCACGCCCTCCAAATGCTCCAGAATTAGTAAAAGGACCAATCCTCATACTTAGGAATCCCAGCTAACCCAACAGAGTAAACAGAAAGAAACCCAACTCAGACATACCAAAATCAAAGCACCTAACACCAAAGACCAACATCTACCCTGAGAAGAAGTCACAGAAAATAGAGTACTACAGAGGAATGGCCACGAAGAATCTAATTGACTTCTCATTAGCCACAATTGTAGGCAGAAGATGGTGGCATAATACAAGAAAACGGTGCTCAGCACAAAATTCTACCCCAAGAGGATCTTCCAGTAACCTAAATAAAGGCTAGGCATGATGGTGCAAGCCTGTAGTCCTAGTCCCTGGGAGGCTGAGGCAGGAGGATTGCCTCAAGTTCAGGACCACCCTTGGCTACATAGTGAGTTCAGGGCCATCCTGGGCTACATAGTGAATTCAAGGCCAGCCTGAAGTAGATAATGAGAGCCTACCTCGGAAAAAAAAAAAAAAAAAAAGAAAAAGAAAAAGGACAAAAACCTAAAAAAACCATCTGCAGACAAACAGTTGTGACCAACATGCCCACAATAATAAATGCTCTTTGGAAAGAGAAAGGAAAGCTAGCATTTCAAGAAGGAATGGTGAGCACAGAAAGTGGGTGTGTGGGAAAAGCAGTATACAGAGTCTGTAAAATCCTTTCTATATTGTCTAATTGATGGGCTCAGCTTAACAGAATGGAGTGCACAGAGGTGAGAATGTGGTGAGGCAGGTGAAATAGTCAGTTGGCCACAGTGTCGTTGCCAGAGGATAAAGACAGGAGTTTTAAGCCTAAATGCACATGTTACAGTTTCAAAGTGACCACGGACAGGAAACAAATCAGCTAAGTAGCTTCTGTAGTGATATAAAGGAGAAAACTAGTGAAGAGGGAAAAGGCCAAAAGAAAAGGAATTTAAAGAAAAACCATAGTAAAACAGGGCCATCAGAAAGTACAAAATAAGGTGACAGAAACTGATAAATATATGGATAATGAGGGTCAAAGTAAAACAATGAAATTTTCCAGTTAAGAAAGGTTGTCAGACTATATTTTCAAGAACCTAAGCAAATAGACAATCTAGTTACACAAACATGGAAATTTTTTTGTTTTAAAAAACATACCTATAACATAAGGACCCCCAAAATTAAAAGAATGAAAGTAAATATGCTAGGGAAATAGTGACCAAAAGGAACCTGAGAGAGAATTTGGCACCGTGAATGATAGTCAGGCAAGCAGTCCCCAGACACTCCCCACAGCTGGGAGGGTTCTCATCTGACAGGTGCATTGACCGTGACACCCAACCCAGAAACGTCTATAAACTAGACCAGAAAGCAGATCTCAATGCCTTTCAAAGACTGAAATCAGATAAGCCATGTTCTTATCTCAAAGTAACTGGTAATTTTAAAATGTGCCTTTCTTTAATTGTAGGTTAAATAATACCAAAAGATCAGACTTAATGAAGAGACATATCACATTCATGGATAGAAACGCACAAATGAAATGCAAATCAAATCAAAATCCAAAGGTGTTTTTTGAGGAATTTTAGCATGCTGTTTTAAGAGTATCTGGAAGATAGGGCTGTGGCTCAGTGGTAGAACACTTGCCTGGTACCATCCCAGGCCCTGACTCAGTCCCCAGTTCTGCGGGGACAGAAAAGAGCTATGTGAAAAAGCGTAGTTCAGAACTAATCAGGATACTCATGAGGAGAGTAATGCAGGATTTGCAAGACAAAGACTCCTTAGGTCACATTAACTGGGACTGTGCAGTTTGAGGGCAAGGAGAGACCAGAGACCCAGGACCTGAACTGATGGTTTAGGAGACCTGTGGCAACCAGGCTCTCAGGGCAGACCCAGGAAAGGACAAAAAGCAGATCATTGTGACAGGAAGACCCCCTCCTGTGTATCCAACACATCAGTGCATGTTTAGAAGATATCACAGGGGTATGCCCTGTTTGTTCTTTGGTCAGAATTTCCTGAAACAGACCCAGAGCTGAAAGGAAGGTATCGCTGAAACTGACTGCTGAATGCTTACAACTGTGCTCCGAGACCATAGGAGAGGAGACCTGTGTACATAGAGCAGCTGCAGGACCAGCCTCTGAGAAGTCCTGGCAGCCACAGGAGAACTTCCTGGAAGGCAGCATTCAGGAGCAGCCAGGCCACACAGCAGGCCTGCTCCCTGGCCCAGCATGGCTGTGTGGGGTGGCTCATTGAGGCACAGGCTTTCGAGCGCTTTGGTTGTCTATGTTTTGTGTTTTGATGTAAAGTCAAGTGGGAAAGCGAGCCACAGGAAGGGTGCTGGATGTGACAAACAAGCACATGTACCACTTTCTCTCTTTTCCCCTCCCTCCAGCCTTTCTTCCCTCCCCCTCCTTCCTTGCCAATGATTTGGAGGCAGTGGAGCCAGAAGGGTGATTTCTACATGGCAGAAATATCTCAAAGAGTGAAAGGCCCCTCAGCACTTAGTGTGGTCCCCTCCTTTAGAAAGTGTGGAAATGGGAGTCCCTAGAGATAAAGTGGTTCAATTAGAGTAGATTGAGATGAGGTAGGTGCCACTAATCCTGCCTACCAGGCAAATGCCTACCCAGCTCCACCATGCTTTGGCCCATCTGCACCTGTGACATCATTTCGTGTTCATGGTGCAGTCACTGATTTGCTAATGTGGCCATTTCTTCATGAAAAGCAGAAAATGTGGTCAGGCATTGTGGCACATACTTGTAATCCCAGTGCTTTTGGAGGCTGAGGCAAGAGAGTCAAAAATCCAAATTCAGCCAGGGAAATTTAGGAACTTGGCAAGATCCTATCTCAACTAAACACATACTAGGAATGTAGCTCACTGTGAAGGTTCTGAGTTTAATTTTTAATGCCACACCAAAAAAAAAACAGGTAGAAAGTATTGCAAGAGAGGTTTCAGGTGCAGAACTTACAGGCTTCTGAATGTCAAGGTCTGGATACCACAGGAGCCAGCTCTGCTAGGACTTCTATAACAAGCTGGTGGGGAGCATTATCTGTGTGGGCAGCAGGAGGGAGGATGGCTGGGTGTGTGGCGGGGCAAGGCAGGCCCCAGGGTCAAGTTCTCTTCTCATACCCTGGTTGTGGGCCCGCTGTCCTGCCACTTCACCAGGGTGTGTCTGGCTCCCTGCGTCCTCACTTCCACGGGCCATGTGGTCATAGAGAGACCAAATGGGTGGAAGAGGCTGTCCTGTTTGGGTACATTGTGGGTGGGTGGGCACAGGGTTCAGGGATAGCAAGTGTGATGTGCAACTGCCACACACTCACGTCACCATGCCAGCCTCTCCTGAAGGTTCATCCTGGTGGCCAAGGCTTACTGCAGGCTGCAGCCCCAGATGCCCTGTGACACTCTTGTGCAGTCTTCTCACTCCCTCCTGCAGCCCCTCAGACCCTTTTCTCAGCTCTCCCTGACAAGATGCCCTGGCCCCTGATCATCATGTCCACTCAGGTAGTAAAATGTCATCCATGTGGAGTCACAGGGCAGACACAGAGGTAGGCTATGCAGGCCCTGGGCCTCATCTGCCTGCAGCTAGGAGCTGGTGCTATGCTGTGTCAGACACACTGTGTCATTAGACACACTGTCATCAGACACGCTGTGTCCAGTCTCTGCCAAAGTCTTACCAAACATGACTTCTGAGGGGACCTGGGCCTCCATGCTCCTCCTCACCAAAGCTGCTCCAGGTTCTAGGTCCAGGCTCCAGGCTGCTCCTGGATCTAAGTTTCCGCAGCAGCAGGCCCAAGTGCTGAGCTTCGAGGTTTAGGAACTAGCTGAGGATGCAGAGGGACAGGCTGGGGTGTTAGGGTACTTCTTCCATGATGTCCCTATGTGGGCATTTTCCTCTTGCTAGGAAGGCAGAAACCAGCTGAGAGGGCCAGGGTCCGGGGGTCCTGGCAGGGAAAACCATTGCCGTGTTAGTTTCTGCTGCAGCCTTGAGCTTATCCAACAAAATTGTCTCAGGTGTGACCCTGGGACCACAAGTGGCCTTGGTTGAGACCTCCTGCAGAAGTAAGAGTGAGACTGGCCAGCCAGTGCTCAAAAGCCCAATTCCAACCTCTGAGGCTGGGGTACCACCCCTTACATTCTCAGGATTGGGAGTTCACCTTCACTAGGGCCCAAACTCCTGGTAAGGTACCCTGCCCTTGGAGGCACATGACTGTGCCTGCAGGAGCTCACAGGGAAGCTGGGTGAGGCACTGCCTCTCTCAGTCTCTGGGATCCAGAGACCTGAGTCCACAGCTAGCCAGCCGCTCTTGTTGGGGACAACAGCTCTGCTCCCTAAGTGCTCTGCACCTCTCCACATACTGTCTCATGGTCACCATACTCACCAGCCCCATGGCCCAGCTCTGGGGGCACTGTGTTCCAGAATCCCTTTCCCTGCAAAGGGTGAAGGATTTCCCAGCACCCCACCAGCCCCTTTGCTCCTAAGGTGCAGCCTAATCTGACCACACTTATCCTATTTTCCATGTTTGCCTTAGCCTAAAAAGTGAAGCCTGAGGAAAGCCTACCCTGGTCCCTTGGCATGCCTCACACTCTGAAACCCATGTGAGTTGCAGTCAGGAAGCTCCCTAGAGGTTGCTGCAAGGGTGGGACCAGGGTAAGGCTGGGGACAGCCTCTCTAGACTTCACAGGAGCTAATGTGAGTCTGCAAGCCTCCTACGACCCCTGCTGGCCCCATTCTGTGGACCTCAGCTTCCCCTGCAGTACCTGGCCCATGGCTCCTACCAGCCTCCCTCCCGCTAGTCTGGTGTGGCTTATGTGGCTGGTTCAGGCTACACTGCTGACGGCCACTCCTTGGTTCCACCAGGCCAAGTCCTTGAGTCCTGCTGCGTCTGCCATGTGTCCGCATGGCCCCTCTCTATCTGTGCAAAGTTCTGTTACTTCGTTTTTAATTTGGTGTGACTTGTACTCAATGACAATAACCTTCTTAGCTCTCATGTCCCTCCTACCCCCAGCAGTTGACCAAGCTCCACCAGTTGGCCATGCAGCAAACCCCCTTTCCTCCCCTCGGACAGACCAACCCCGCTTTCCCCGGTACGTACCCAGCTGCCCTTTTCTAACCTCCTTCTCTTCTCACCTGGGGACTTTTCTCTGCACTGTCCTTGCACAATGCCACGAGTGGCACAGTTGTCACAGGGCTGCACATGGCTGTGGCTGGGCGGGGGTCGGTCTCTCCCACTGTGGGCTGGTTCATGTCACCTGGACTTGCATATCCTGCCTGTGAGGCAGCATCTGCCTTTTGAGGGTCGCTGCTCATGCAGCAGCACTCTGTACTGCTCACAGACATCCCTAGTGGCCCTTCCCATGAAGGCTTCTGTGTGGCCAGCCCAGGAGCAGGCACTCCAAAGGCAGAAAAGTGGTGACAGGAGCCAGCCCCAGCCCAGGCCTGCGTGAGGCAGCAGAGCAGCAGGTCCCTCTCACAGAGGCAGAGCTGTCCAGCTGTGGCTGGTGAGGACACTGGACATGCAGTCAGCTGCACTGCGCCAGTCATATTTTGAGCTTCCTTAGTTGAAGGGACCTTGCTTATCTCCTTGAGGGCAAAACATTAAACCTCTCTCTTCTTTGCTCTCCAGGAGAAAAGCTGCCTTTACACTCCTCCGAAGAAGCTCAAAATCTGATGGGCCAGTCGTCAGGTAAAGCAGACCCACAGGTGGGAGAGCAGCCAGGGAGGCCAGCACAGGAGGCGCTGGTGCTTGGGGACAGTGCTGGTGCCCAGCATCACGCCTGCAGCCGTGTGCAGCTCTCCGGAGCCCAGCCACAGCAAGCACATCTGCTGGCTGGGGGCTCTAGCGTGCTCAGTGCTTGGCCATCATCTCTGCAGGTAGCCTAGTCAGCGGGGCAGTCCATGCACTCCTTGTTCTCAGGTGGCTCAGCATGTGGGGTGTGTAGTGAAGCCGTGATCGATGTGTGCTTCTAGAAGCATGTTTCCTTGGAGTCTTGACTGTACTGAGCTGTTGGACCTCCTCCCCATAGCAGTAAGATTCTTGCTCCCAGCACACTGAGAGTGGTGCACAGACCCGCAAAATCAGAGACTAAGGTTCAAAGAATAGTTGTCTAGAGTGGAGAGGGTTCCCTGCATTCTTGTCAGGGACCACCCCAGTTTCCCCACCCCAGCTGTGCTTTTGGCTGCCAGGATGTCACCTTATGATGACCTTCCTTCACCAAGGCCCCCAGAGACCAGCAGGGCACACCAGCCTGGCTGCAGATGCAGGTGAAGAGGGTGTGGCCTCTGTGAGAAGAGGTGGCCTTGAGGGATGTGGCCTCAGTAACTGGTGTGCACTGGAGAGTATGGCCTCTGGAGGAAGTGTGGCCTCTGTGAAGGGTGTGGTCTTGGCCTGGTTTGAGGAAGGTGTGATCTTGGACAGCAGGGCTCACTCTGGTTCTGGTTCTGGTTGGGAGGGACTGGGCTTCTTCCTTGAGTTAGGGTACCACTAGCATGAGAAGGCACTGGCTCTGGGGCTTACTGTCCCAAGATAAATGAGCACCATTTTACACAGCTGTGTTGTAAGCTGCCCTTTAATTTTAGTGCTCCTTAACAAGGGTCTGCCACTTTCCCTCTCTGTCAGCTCACCTGGTCCCACATATATGACAGCCACTCCATGCGCATGCTGACCTCACCTGGGGCTCCTGTCCAAGTTCAGACAGGACTAAGAATCTTTCACATGATGGGTTAGATGTCATCTTTTGTGGAATGTGTATAAACAACCAAATAATCATCATATCAGAAAGATTATTAATAAAACAAGAGAAAGAACAGAAACTAAACTTAGGCAAGTAAAACAAAAGAGAACTGGGGATGAGTTGGTTCACTCTGCACCCGCCATCTGGCTCCACTGCCTGCCCACGGTGTCGCTTCAGCAGGGAGAGGGCTGAAGATTCTCAGGGGCCAGGGAGAGAGGAGTGAGGCTAGCATGCAGAGCTGGAGAGCGAGGTGCACCCTGAGGAGACAGACACTTGCTGAGGTTGTTTTGGGGGACAGGTCTGAGTGGAGATGGAACTGAGTGTACTGGTGGAGGGGTCCCAGCAGGAATCCCATGGAAGGCGTTTCTGGGATACCCTGAAGGGCACAGCTGCAGGCTGGTGGTCGGAAGGGATGAGTTGGTCTGGTCAACCCCAATGCCTGGAGCCTCTTCAGGCTTAGGAGAGACAAGAGTAGGGTTCAGCTTCAGACTTGGGTGTATGCCACTTCACCAGGAAATGCCCTAAAGGGATGGTTATGGTGGCTTCCAGCTCGGGCCCTCTGTGCTTGTGTCCCTGTTTTGGAGGCTGAGACGAATTTGCACATGGACTCTGAGAAGGTGTTACAATCTGATCCATGCAAGGATGGCAGCCTGGGCTTGGTGATAACCCAAACCCTGTCCTCATACTTCAGCGTAGGAAGGAAATCTGCACAGAAATGGGGCCTCTTGCTGGCTCAGCAGCTCCTCTCTAGCTAAGCTGGCTATCAGGTCTCCCTGCTCCAGGGTACAGGGACTCGCATGGGATTGGCCATCCCAGCTGTCCAGCAGCCTTTGGACAGTTCATCAGCCGCACCACTCTGGCACCAGCTGCCTGTAGCAGGGATCTGGAAGAAGGGTGCAGAGGAGAGCAGAGCAGTGCTCAGAGCCAGCAAGGTTTCCTTCAGGAGCTGAAGGGAAAGGGTGCTTGGTTTCAGCGTGACAGCATGGCCTGTGCCCTGTGCCACAGAGGCCCAAGCTATTGTGGATACCCTCCTAGTACCCAAGGGGAAATTCTACAAATGGGAGCACAGGTGTGATGTGCTAGAGTGAGGAACAAAATGTGACTGTGCTGGGGCCCCATTTCCTTTTGACAGAAGCTGGTGCTCAGGAGTCTGGGCCGTCATGGGCCTGAGAGCTCAGAGGGCCCTGGACCAGCCCTTGCCCCACTTTGCCCAGGCAGGAGTACAACTATGAGTGGCCTTGCCACCAGCCTAACCCTGTCCCTTTGGTGTGCCCAGGTCTGGATGCCAGCCCCCCGGCCAGTACTCACGAGCTCACCATTCCCAATGATGTGAGTATACCCTATGCCTGCCTGTCCCACAAAATGTGTGATTTTCCATTCTAAGATACTAAACAAGAAAGGGTCCCTGGTGACCTCAGGGTTCATCAAGGGTTGGGCCAGGAAAGCTCTTGCTCCAACCACGCAGGGCAGGGTGACCCAGGAGTGCCCTGAGTGGGCTCTCCTCACCACTTTCCCATGAGGCCTGCCTCTTCTGAGTTTTGGGAGTCTGTTGTTGGTCCAACAGACCAGAAGTAAACTGGAAGTTGCAAGTTTGTCTGAATACTATGTCCAGTGCAGAGGAGTCTGCTCATTCTGAGGTTCTGGCCTTCCCCTCAGTGCTCCCTGAACTGAACAGGGAGGACCCTTCCCTGAATCCTTGGATCATCTCCAAGATGAGAGACCAGGAAGGAGAGGGCCCCACATGGGCCATGCAATCATGCAATGGTTGCCCGTTCTCCAGTGCATGTGTGCCCTGGAGCTGGACACTTAGGAACCTTCCCTGCTCTGCACCTCAGGCCAGCTGGACAGGGAGCCTGGATCCTGCCCCTTCCCTATGAGAACCAATTTGGGAACTTTAGGGCAGTAGACTATAGGGCTGAAGAACAGGAGCTGGGAGAGCAGTGAACACTGGAGGGGCCACAAGACTCTGGCCAGTGCTACTGCCCCTCAGGAACACCTTCCTCATAGGGCTTCTGGTGGGCTGAGGCATAGCCTCTACGCAGGCGGCAGAGCTGCTCCAAGCCTCCTGTCTCTGCTGCCCAACAGACACAGTCCCCATCTGTGTAGCACTGCATGACACCCACTCCAACCAAGTGCCTTTGCTGACCAGCTGTCAGCGCCCATGGATGTTTTTGATCTCGGACTACATCCTTGGAGAACGGCGATTTCAGCTCTGTACACTTCAGTACCCAAGTGACAACTGCCATGTATGCTCCCTAAGCAGGGCTTTTCCTTGGGCCTCTTGTTGACAGCCCTGTTCCATTAGCATCTGAAAAGCCGCTGCAATCCTAGCATTAATTGTAAGGTGGAAATGGACTTAAGGAAGATACAGATGGGGCCTCTTGGGGAGCTAGAGTACGGAACCTACACCCTGCAGCTGTGTGCCCCATCTCCCTCCTGACTCTCTGAGAGGGCAGCCTGCTGCTCAGAAGGAAGGCAGCTGCCAACACCCAGTGCCTTCTGCAACACACCCTTCATCTTTTGTGGAGGGTCCTTGATGGCCTCCTGCCCACCCACACTCTCAGGGATGTCGGGCTTTGAACATCAACATCATGTGTGGAGCCAAGGTTCTGCAGCCACTTATTATCTTCACAGAGACCTAGAAGAAAATTAATCATGCACTTGTGTTCTCAACAATTAATGTCACCATGTCCATGTCTGTCCCCTGGTCACAGATCATGCCAGTGTCTGCAGGTCACCATGTCCATGTCTGTCCCCTGGTCACAGATCATGCCAGTGTCTGCAGGTCACTTCAACTCACTTCAACCCTAGTGACAGGAAGTGTACACTCATAAGTGCCTTATAGCAGGGCCTTGGAGACAGGCTGGGCCCTTGGTCCTCTCCTGACAGCCACTGCGGCCTCCCCATGGCCCACTTCAGAGCTTGCTCTCTGCTTATATTTGGTGTCCAGGCCCCTGCACTCTGCCCTGAGCACCAAGAGCTTTTCTGATGGGGTTAGCAATACCTATTTGCTTCAGAACATTTCTGTTGCTTTTCTTTAAATGTTTAATGGAGGTTGGATGCAAAATTGAGGGCACAGTGAGCTTGGGGCTACATAAGGCAGGGTCTATAGGTCCAGGGGAAATAAGGTAGGAGGGTTGCCTTGGATGGCCACTGGTCATGGGCTACTGGTGCTGGAATGGGCCTACTCTGACCAATGGAACAGCAGGCAGAACTGCTCTCACCCATACCCTAGGAGGGAAGGGGAGAGTACTGCCAGGAATCAGGAGAGCATTGCCTCGGTGCCCCTCAGCCTGCTGGGGAAATGTACCAGGAAAACAGTGGGCATGTAGGCAGGTCAGGAAGTGCCAGCCACACCTAAGCAGGATGATGCCAGTACAGAAAACAGAAGGAGTGCCTGAGAGTGGGAGCAGGAGTATGAGGCTTCAGCCTAGGTGATGTGCTCTCCTCACAGTGATTGTCTACAAGGACTCCTGGTCACACCTTTTCCAGTTCCCATGCCTGGCCCTGGTGAGCGATGAGTCCCAATCAGCTTCATGCCAGTGCGAGGGGACACAGCCAAACAGGCTAGTAAGGAAGCCCTGCTCCCTGGCCTCAGGGACCAGGCACACTCAGAACATGGGACTCAGGTGTGAGCAGGGAAAGAGACAAGGGGAGCCCGGAGGAGAAGGCTTTCAGTGGGGCCTGGCAGGTGAGGGTGGAGCCTGGAGACTGTGGATGGGGCTTGAGGACTGGGTGAAACCCAGTGGTGGAAGCAGGAGACAAGAGAGCCGAAGAACACTGGTTTCTCAGGAACAGAGGTTTCCCTCTGTGCTTGCAAGGATCTGCTTATCATGGTCCAGCAAGAGCTGGTCCTAACTTAGATGCAGCAGAGAATGCTGAAAAGTGAGCAGAGTGGATACCCTGAAGGTTTCCCCCAAGACATGAGCCAGTTCATACAGCACCTGGTCCCACCCTGTCACAGGCTTTGAAGTGAATTCTCTGTCCTGTACCCTCTTGCAGCCCACCCGGCTCTTCTTCAGGACATTTCACTGCACCATGCACAGGAGCAGAAGCATGTCACTAACCTTCTATCTCAGGACAGCCCTGACTGTGTCCACAGGGGCAAGAGCACCTTAGCCATCCAGGACTGGCATATGCCTTCTACTGCAGCTCTTGGCCATTTCCTGTCTGGCCACTTCATTTTCCTGTTCTAACTCCAGCAGTGCCCATATGTGGCTGTGAAAAGTCTCCACCCATGGTGAATGTCAAGGGATGGCAGCAGGCCCCTCCGCAGTCTTTCTGGGGTCCAAGTTGTTCCCACCAAAGCAACAGGCTGGGCTGGGAGGAACCTACACAGCTGCAGCTGCTGCCAGAGGGAGGCTTTGACCTCCCTAAGTTGCTGTCCCAGGCTACTTCAGATGGCCCTGCTTTTGACAGCCTCCTTGTCCATAGACCATGTATCACTGCTTCAGAAGTCAGAGTGAAAGGGAAGTGACCACCTGATATGCCATCAGAATTTCATCTGAGCACATGAAAGATAGGCTGTCTGTGGCAATGTGTTTCACATACTCTTTCAGCCAGTGCCTGTGATGCTTTCTCTTGAGGCAGAGTGTTTCCATTCTGAGGAACAGCCAACAAGCTGCCAGCTGGCCTGCCCATGGTCAGGTCCTGACTCAGTGTCTATCCTGCCCATCTCTGGCTACTCTTGGCAGGACTGATGGATCAAGGCTGTATGGCTGCCATCTCTTGATCTCATGGACTTTGCATGGAAGGACTCAAAGCAGAGGGGCCAGCCTGCAGCACCCCTTTCTCCCAGGAACACTGAGAGTAGAGACCAAGGCCAAGTATCCTGTCCTCCTGGGCAACTCAGGGGCTCTTACAGGTGTCCTGGAAGGCTATCTCGGGTCTTCCTCTGAGAAACTTCTCCCCATCCTTTTTCTAGCTAATAGGCTGCATAATTGGACGCCAGGGGACCAAAATCAATGAAATCCGTCAGATGTCTGGGGCTCAGATCAAAATTGCCAATGCCACTGAAGGGTCATCAGAGCGTCAAATCACCATTACGGGGACCCCGGCCAACATTAGCCTTGCCCAGTATCTCATCAACGCCAGGTGAGTGACTCCAGTTGGGGTTCCTCTAGGGGCCCCACATCCTGTCCTAGCCAGAGTGAAGGCAGGTGAGAGCCCAGCCACTCTCACCCTTCTGGCTGGACATGGAGATAGCCATGACAGGGATGGCCCCCAATGAACATGGCTACCCTGCTCACCTGACTGTCATCTGTGAGGAGCCGGGATGCTAGAACAAGGGATTCTAGGCTGGCCAGGAGGATGCCCCTGTAGCCTGCACCTCAACCATTTATGGATGGGTCTAAGAGCACTGGGGATTTGGCCTCTGCTCTGTGGCCCTCCCTCTTCCCACTCACACAGGACAGTGTAGGTTGGGGACAGCACAGAGCTGGCCCTGTTCCTTCCATGTCCTCACCCAGAGCCAAGATGAGCCCACTGTGACTCACACCCAGCACACAGAGCCAAGGTGCACCACAGGGACACATGCTTCCCAGCCAGACCATGGGTGGGCAGACCCAGCCCCACAGGCCACACAACTCACTGTCCTGGTGCTGAGCCCAGACCAGTGACGGGCGAGGGCACAAAAGGAAGACAAGGAAACCCCGCCCTGACTTCCCCTTTCCATCTCCTGCCCCCCACCTACTGACACCCACAGGGCATCTGGTAGCTTCTATCCACCTGTTCGGATAGGAAGGTTCAGCCTGGAAGGTTCCAGATTTCCTGCACCTGGCACGTGCCTGCCTGCCCCTGCCACAGTGGTGCAGGACACTGACCCCTCTCACACATGGTCATCATGATTGACAAGCATGAAACTCTTCTCAGGGGCAGGCAGCTCGGGAGGCAGCATAACATGGTGACAGGTGGTAGAGGTAGCTGGCAGGGGATAAGAACCTCTCGCTAGGCCATGCTGTCCTCCAGCACACCATGGCCCTGCAGGGACCAGAGGACATACCAGGGCTGTGAGGGTGCCACCCTGCCTGCCTCCCTGCCAACTGTCTCATGGGGCCTTCTGTGTAACTGTGTATATTCCAGGCTGACGTCCGAGGTCACCGGGATGGGTGCGCTCTAATCCTGCCCAGGACCCTCCATCCTGCACACCTGACGCTCAAGCCTGCAGCCTCACCAGCCACCCACCTCTCCTCGCAGACATGAGTAGAGCATTTTATTTACTAGCAGAGCCCACATGTGCTGTGGACACAGCACAGGCCTCCACGCCCACAGCCCAAGTTAGCTGTGCCCGTCCCCTGCGTCCGCATGCTGTGCTGCTTACTTTAATGCTTCATGGTATTCCCGTGTGTGGCGCTTTAGAAACCTAGTCCTCAGTGTCAGTGTGACTGTGTGTTTTAAGAGTTGGCTGCTTTGGCAGCACTTCCTGTGACCTGCTCTCCCCCACACTTGGACACCCACCTCTCCGGTATCATGCTGGCTCAGTTTCCCCTAAGAGCCCTGCTGCCGGGTTCACAGTTCCACCCCGTGTCATGTACTAGAGTCAGGGTGTCCTTCCTGTACCACCTGCAGGAAGTGCTTGGGAGAGGAAGGGCTTGGAGGGTGACCTGAGGAGCAGGGTGGGGGCAGGGGTTGCTGGTCTACTTCCCGGGGTGTGTCACAGTGGCATTCAGGAAGCCCTCAGCACTCGTTAATAAATGGAGTTAATAAATGTTATGTGCCCCTAGCCTCTGGCTCTTCTCTGCCCCACATACCTGTAGCCACCAAGAGGCTGCACCTGTAAGCGGCCTATAGTCTTGAGCCTGGCTTTTTTCTCCCAGCCACAAAATAAGGTTACTTTACTACTTTCCTAAGCTCTTTTCTGTTTTATTTGCATAGCCACTTACAAAAACAAAAATTGTATGAGTCAGCACCTCCCGCTTTGCAGCTAAACTTGTATTTATTACATGCCTCCTCTGTGTGACCCCAGAACCAGAGAGCACATCTGAGCACAGCAGGGGTGCCCAGTGTAGCCTATGCGGGACAGGCAGCCAGGCTGGTGAGAAGCCCAGGTGTAGCCGCCCCTGCCCAGCCCCACAGACCTGTTCCACCTGCCTCACCGGGGGGTGAACTCACCATCCCAAGCACAGCCACACCAGTCTGCACGCTGCTCGGGACTGTGGACAAGCCTCTACCGCCTAAGCAGACAGTTTTGAGTTTGTCTGAGACAGTGGTCAGCAGAGACTTCATGAACACTGTATCTGTGGCAGGACACTACCAATGCCTGACCCAGAACACACAGGCTACTAAAGACGTACCACAAAGTTAGGCACAGAATCGTTTTGACAGGAGTATATTCTTTGCTACAGGGATTAAGAAGAGGTTTTGTTGAATTCGTTAAAAGATGTGTTACTCCACCCAAAATAAAAGCAGCGTCATGGAGCATGTGTTCACCTACACAAACATAGAAGCAGCGCCACCTGGTCCCCTGAGGTCCCTGGGGAGGCCAACTTGGACAGGCAGTGTTTGGGGGGTTTGGTTTGGTTTGGTTTGGTTTGGGTTTTGTTCCTTGGTTGGTTGGTTTTGTTTGGGAGTAAGACGGTTGTTTTCATTTGTTTTCTGCCACACTGAAGATTGAGCCAGAGTATCGCCCATGCTGGGCAAGCACCCTGTCCCTGAGCTACACCTCTGGCCCTTTTTACTGTATTTTTGAGACAGAAATTTGCCAGGTGGTCCAGGTTGGCCTCCAACTTGCAATCCTCGTACCTCAGCGTCTTGAGCTGCTGGGATTACAAGAATAGGCTACCAAGCCCAGCTGCTTTTTTTTTTAACTGATTTTGGAATCAGAATTTATTTATAATAGCTGTTATAGTCAATGATCTATTTTCAGTCTCTTTATTTGAATTTTCTTTTTTTTTGTGCTCAATGTGTCAAAATCAGTATATATTATTAATCTTTTCAAAATATCACCTATGGTTTTTGCTACTGTTTTCTTGAGTTTTTTTGTTTTGTTTTGGGTTTGGGTTTTAGTTTTATGTTTGTTTGTTTGTTTGTTTGTTTTGAGACAGATTTTTCTATGTAACTCAGATTGACTTGGAACTCCTGACAATCTTCCTGCCTCAGCTTCCCAAATGCAGGGATTACAGGAGTGCACCACCATGCCAGTTTAGTTTTTGCTATTATAGTATGTATCACTCACTATTTCATTGTTTTTTGCCCATATCTTTATTATTTCTCTTTTTATTAATTTATATTTATTTGTTCCTTTATTTGTTAAACTACTTGACATGTGATTAGTTCTATTTTTGGCAAACTTATCTCTTGAGAAATGGATTTAAGACTATATATTTCTAGGTACTACTTTAGCGATGACTCTGGAATTTTGACCAATTACGTTATTACTCAATTCTGCTTTTTCATTCCTTAAATTGTCTACTTACCTGAAAGTTCTTAGTAAGATACTATTAAATATTGACTATGTGAGGTTCTCCTGTTAATTTCTAATTTCTTGCACCATGGGGAGCATTTGTAGTCTCACTGACACTGACCCTTGGGGGTACATAGGGAATCTCTTGTTATCCCTTTGATGGTGGGTGTATTCACCAGTTTTCTTATCTCTGGGACTCAATATCCAACACCTGCAACTTAAAGGGGGGGGGGGGTTAATTTGGTTCGTGGTTTCAGGAGATTCAGTTCATGGTTGGCTGCTCCAAGGCAGAAACATCATGGCAGAAGGGTGTGGTGGAGGGAAGCCACTTAGTTCTTGATAGCCAGGAAGCAAAACAGGGGAGCAATACCAGGGATGAAGGGGCAGGGGACCAGTTATAATCCTCCATGGCCATCCAGACAATTTAAGGTGCTTTACCAATTCCCAGGTGGCTCCCAAGCCAACTGAGTTGACACAGCTAAGCTTTGTGATCTTGGTGAGTTTCTGTAGTTGTCCATGTGTGCTGGATTCGCAGACACTGTGAGGTCTGTGAAGTTCCTCATCTGTCTGACAGCCAAGCTCAATCATCATGTCACATTTGGGGTACACTGGTTGTTTTCGTCTGATTTGGTCCATGTGGGAGACATGATGGTACCAGCAGAAGTTGCACTCTAACCCTGGAATGGGCCCTAGGATCATGTCATGGTCCATAGTTAGAGCATTAGGGTTTCACACTAAAGTTTCTTTTCAGCTGACCCTAAAATAAGGAGCTAATGCTGGACCCTCTATGTGGGACCACTGGTCTCACCTCAGGAAGGAGGGAACTGCAGGGCCACACTCATCCAGGCAGACTCATAGCTCAGGCTACTCTGAAGATAGCTGGAAAGCGTAGGACAGAAGGGGGCTTGAGGTATACCCTGGTTGACATGGAGACCCCTGCCAGGCCCAAAGGAGGGAATACAGGCTTTCTGGGAAGCTTGCCCAGACTTGGGGCATGGGACCTGAAAGCTGCCAGCTCTGACATACCCATGTTGGATGAGAAGGCTGTTAGTCACAGATGTGTCCAGCCAGGAACAGTTGCTGAGCTGGGTCATAGCTCACACTGGGTCCAGGCTGGAGACACTGTTCTTTGTTCCCTGCAGTTTACCCAGCCACCTCAGCCTGGGGTCTTCTGTCCCAGACTCTACCTACCAGGTACCCGGGTGTCCACCCCAGCTCCAGGTGCTTCTGAGTGTCTGCCTGGCATTTGTGTCTCATTCTGTCATTTTCATTTTTCTCTTTTTCTTTTATATAGCTTTTGTATGTTTTTGGTAATATCTGTGTTATTACCAGATCTTGGATTTCATTGAGGTTATCTGTTTTTTAATTGGATAGTTTAACATGTTTATCATAATTATAATATTAAATTTATTCACATTATTTCATATTTCATTTATACTTCCTCTGTTTCTATTTTCACTGAACAGCTTTCTCTTATACTGGATAGGACCCTCTCTTTTCCCTACAATGCATGTTAGTACTGCTGCAGTTCTAGTTGGCAATTATTAAAATATATTCTTCTTTGGCCTTGTCTAGTGCTTATCCCTAGTCATCCCCAGGCATGCCCCATCTCCTTTAGTCACACCTCTTTCTGCTCTCTCCAACACCTTCTTGCACGGCCTGATGGGGATTCGGTGTGCAGGACCCTGTGCCCAGCAATGTGTGTGCCCCATCTGGGCGATGGGCCCACAGTCCTGGTCCCAGCATTAGAAAGAAAGCCAAACTTCCCTCACCTAGAGGAGGGGTCCGAGGTGGCTGCTCTGCTCCTGCACAGGCTGCCTTGCCCTGCAGAACCTTGGGAGTGGTGCTGCATGGACATCCTGGGGCCTGCTGCCTTCCACAGCCTGGTGGCTTCCTCCATCTTTAGAGTTCTGGAAAATATATTTCAGTCACTTGGTGAGATACCCTCTCTGTTCCCATCTTTCTTTTCTATCTTTGGAAACGGTTTCCTGGGGGTTGATCTGTTGTCTTCTACTTGGCAACCCCCTCAGTGGTCACTCTTTTCTCTGTTCCTGGTGGGCCTCCTACACCTGACCCATGGATGTGCTCACTGTGTCCTGCCACTACTCTCTGCTCTGTGGCACTCTGGCCACTCTTCACTCTTGTCTTCAATGGCTGTAAGTTTTGGCAGCTTATTTTCATGGCTCCTCACTCCTGCTAAGTAATGTTAAAAATTCTTGGGGTTTCCTTTCTTTCTTTCTTTCTTTTTTTTTTTTTTTTTTGTACCAGGGATGGAACTCACCATCTCTCGCTCGCCAGGCAGGTGCTTATGCCACTGAGCTAAATCCCCGCCCTTCCCATCCCAGGAGTTTCTTAAGTAGTTTCTTTTTCTCGAACTAGCAGCCTTGCCCTCAAGGTCATCCCGCCCAGCCCACATGCCAAGGCAGAGGGACACTAGAGCAAGCAGGCTCCCACAGGGCCCAAGTGCAGGTGTTACTATCGGGGCCTAACTAGAATGCTCCTCAGATGCAAGGGGTAGGAGTCAGAGGAGGACACCCCAGAGGAGCCACAGGTTTTTACTGCAGCCTAATAGCTCATCAGAGCCCAGTGTCTGGGAGAGAGGAGATCTTCAGTCACTTCTCTTTCTTCTTGGAAACTGCTGTCTGGAAGTCCCTCATCCTGTGGGTCAGTTTGGCCTATTTATGTTTGTGTCCATCCCCTTTCTGCCCCATGACGGATACCTAAGACCATAAACTTGGAAAGAGTAAAGGTTTGCCCTGGCTCACAAACAGAGCTTCGGGTCCATGGCAGGATGGTCCCTTGCATGTGGGGTGTGGCAGCACAGGTGGGAAGTGAGATGGGGCAGAGCTGTTCCCTCATGACCAAGGGTGGGGGCCCCACTGTCTCATTGTTTATTAATGCTTTTAAAGCATTTTTTGCACTTAACTAGAGAATGTGATTTATTTTTTGATGTACTGAAGTTTTGTCTCCTTAAACACTTAAAAATAGCCCCCGCCTTGGGTGAAGAATTCTCTGATGAGGTACTTAGTAACAGAGTTCTAGTGGGTCTGTGTATTGGTCCATGCAGACCTGGTAACAGAGTGCCCCACACTAGGCAGTTACTATCAAGAGAAATCGATTTCTCACACTATCTGTAGGACAGGAGTCAGAGGTCAGGGTGCCAGGACACATGAGTACAGAGGGCCAGTGACACAGATGGTAAAAACTATTTACCAACAGGCCAGAGATTTGGCAAAGAGGACAGTTTATTCCATCCACTGAGTGCACTGTCAAGAGAGACAGTGGCAGGTTTCCAAAAGGACCTGTGCGTGATGGTAGAGACTGGTGTCATGATAAGGTGTAGGCCTGGGAAGAGGGGTTGTGGACAGCTGATCTAAGTGTCTGGGGAATCTTCTCCCAGGATAACTGGTTTCTGTTCACCCTTTGAGAACCCAAATAATTTTAAAGTTGTTCACTAAAGTTACAAACTGTCAAGGTCTCGCTCAGCTTCTGCAAGAGCCCTCAAACTTTTGAGGAAAGATGCAGCATTAGCTCAGGGGAGGGAAGGATGTTTCTTGTGGTGAAGCCATTTCAGTCCTCACTAGTGCTGGACAGAAGTATGTTGTCAAAAGAGTTTGAGTGCTGAGAACTTGAACCCTTTTGTCACAAGGGTCCTGCACAGCACAGCCCCTACTGGATTACAGATGCCTCCTTCTTGCTATGTCCTCACACAGTGGTAGGGTGAGGATCTGGGCCCCCATTATAAGGACACCAATTCATTCACGAAGGCTTTACCCTCATGACCTAGTTTCCACAAAGGCCTCACCTCTGGGCACCACCGTAGGGCCTGGGGACGCCAGCATAAGAACTCTGGAGAAATGCAGCTTTGGCGCTGCAGCCAATAAAGTTGAACTGCTCTAAGTAACCAGAAAGGTCTATGTGCTCTACATCTGTTTGCATCAAGCAACAAGAGCCCACTCTGCCTCCCCCTGTCCTGGCCGAGGGGTCAGCTGGAATGGGCTCCTGATGTGCTTGTGTTTCCCGAGTCATTCACTCTGTCTGTTCCACAGATCCGATACTCCATGATTCCCGCTCTGCTGCACTCTAGCCCTGGCCATTCTCAGTGTTCTTCGTCCTTGCAGAGAGGCCCTTCCTGTCTGCTCCAGCATGGCGTTCTTTCGTTTCTTTTCTTCACCACCTGCTCTGATCCTCTGGTTTTAGCAGTTGTTCCCATGCAGAGCATTTGCTACACCACAGGGACCAGTGAAGAGGGCAATGGGGCAGGGCTGCCTGCACTCCGAAGCAGACTCAGCACTGTCGTGGGCATTGAGCCCAGGCCTCCCCCACTGTACACCCTGCGAGCCTGGTCATTCACTATGGTTTTGGTGCTTAGAGCTCAGCTGTGGGCAGCACTGAAACTTGGTAGTGACTGCACAGGGACAGAGGGACGAAAACGCATGTATCCCCATCCCAAGGATTTGAGAGCTGTGCTCTTTCCTCCCAATGAGGTGCAACAGGCTGTCCAGCCCCACACTGGGAGAGCCAGCTAGGGGAGCCCAGGCAAGACCCTGTGCCTATAGCTCTGGGGCCAGGGTTGCTCTGTGCAGGCAATGGCTGCTCCAGGGCCCTGGAGGGAGGCTGGGTCAGGCCCAACCACCCAGTCCCTCAGCCCCCCAGCAAGCCCAGTCCCGGCCCAGCACAGCTGTCCCCCAGCCCAGGTGGCCACAGCAGGAGCCAGTGGGCAATCTGAGCTCCCAGGTGTGCCTTGTGGCCCACATCCCAGGACAGGTAGAAGAAAACCACACCTGGAAGAAAACCTTAGCCCAGTATCCCTGTGGAGATGGATGCAGCCTGCAGCAGCATCAGGAGCAGAGCTCTCCAGGCGCCTGGGCACCAGGACCACATGTAGTGTGCATCAACAGCTGTTTCCACCAGAAACCAGGTCAGCAGCTTGGTAATGAATAGAGGACGATGACAGTTATTTCCATGACACAAAGAATCCATACCGTTTCAGGATGAAAATGAGCAACAAACTAATCTAAATGAAAGCTTCTTCAACCTAGCTGTTACGGATGCTTCGTGTGTTGAAGTCCCCAGGGCCCAGTTCATGGCTGTATTTGGACACAAGGTCATCAGAGGTGAGAGTAAGTTAAAATGGGATCATTAGGGTAGCCCAACTTCAACACGGCTGTGTCTTTACAAGAAAAAGAGATGTGAACATCAGATAAGTGTCCACAAAGGAAAAAGACCGTGTGAGCACACAGGACAAGATGGTCATTGGCCAGTCAAGCAAAGTGGCCTGGAACAGATCCTCTGTTATGGCCTAGAGGGAAGCCTCTGAGCACCACATGCCCGGACTCACAGCCTCCAGAGCAGCAAAGATGCAGATTTCTGACATCACTGCTTGATCTGTGCTGTTTTATTATAGCAGACTAAGACATCTGTCCATTTCTGGAGAAAAAAGGAAAAAAAAGACAAGTTTCGATAGATGTTGACTGAATCTGCAGATCACTTTGGGGATCACTGCCATCTTGCAATACTAAGGGAAAGAGAAGAGGAGGGAGGAATAAATTCTGCCTGCAGACTGCATGAACTCACTTCCAATCACATATCTGATAAGGGACATGTCAGCTTTCCATCACTGTGACAAAATTCCTGAGATAATTGATTCTTCAGGAGGAAAGAGGTATTTTGGCTCTTGCCTTCAGAGGTGGTAGTCCCTGCCATTTGGCCCTGTCGCCTGCCTGTGGTGTGTAGTGCATCATGCCAGCAGGATATGGAAGAGGTGGAATGTTCACCAGGAAACAGAGAGAGGAAGGACAGAGCTCCAACATCTCCTTCAAGGCTGCACTCCATGACTTGACTCCTCCCACCACTTCCCAGTGCTACACAGGTAGGGACGGGCCTCAGCACATGGCTGTAGGGACCCAAACTACAAGGACTTGTGTACTGAGTACATAAAGAGCTCCTGCACGTGTGCAGACACACGAAGAATATTATTAGTAGGACCCATGGGTAGCATCTGAACAAGTTTTGCAAGTTGACCAAGACAGCAGCCTCGGTCATTGTTGGCTTCCTGAGTGTGGACACAGTGCTGTGATTGGGAGGAAGCACGCACTTGTTTTTGGAGATGTCTACACTCAGCTAAGCCCACAGGAGCCTGCAGTGTGGGTGCACCAAGAACCAGCTGTGGGAGAAGGGCACGAGCCATAGTGGCCCTGGCCCCTCTGTCACAGCACAGCCACTCAGTGGTCACCACCTTCCAGCTACTATGTCTGGGTTGCCTTTCTCCAAAGCAGCACAAGTGCAAGGCCACAGAGCAGCTGAGCCAGCCCAGGCCAGCCTTGTATAGGAGATGCCAGCCAAAGCTTCCTGACAGGAAGATGTGAGCACGCAACAAGAGAAGAAGGTGTGACCATAACTGGGTCACAAACCTGCAGAACCCAAAGTCTCCACAGGAAAACTGCTGCAGAAAGTAAAACAGTTTTGTAAATTGTTATAAAAATAAAGATCGGGAAACCAATAGCTTTCCAGGGAAATGGTGACATTATAGTGGGGGGAGGTAATCCCACCTATAGGAGTAAAAGAGACCAGAAGAGAGAAAAAGGGTAAAATCCGTAGGCCAGAACCCAAAACAGTCCCAAACATGGGTTAGAAATGAGAAAAACCACAAAAGATCCAGGTGGGACTGTCCCTGCATGTGATGCAGGGTGCATGCTGTGCTGGGCCAGGTCCTCACATTAGCTCTGCCCAGCGAGACCTGACACTGGCCCCTGGAGCTGCTTTGGCTTCCGTCTGTGAGTGGCACTGGTGCCTGTCTGGGGAGTGCTGCTGAGATCGCATTACTAGGTCCTCTGCAGGAGACAGGAGACATCCAGCCCTTTTCTTCCCCTCCGGCGCCAGATGCAGTCCCCACACACCCATCATGGGAACCCCTGGCACTGCCATCCTGCAGGGCCTCCACTCACCATCCTGTGCTCACCAAGGCTCAGAACCCAGGCAGGGAGTGAGGGACAAATATTGGCCCCAGCCCCAAGGGTCTGAATATGCAGCCTTCCCAGAGCCCCTGACCCCTGGCCATGGAGTGAAAGGTGCCCCTCATGGGGACAGCCTCCCAGGAGGTGAAAAGAATACCCACCCACAGTCCCAGCCAAGGGGCTGGCCACAGGGACTGCACTCCTGGTGGCCAGTGTGGTGAGAGGATGATACCGCTCTCTCACAAGGTCTCCAGTGAGGACCCAGGGACCCAGAATCCCCCCTCCTTCACCTATACTGGACCCTGATCCCAGGCTGGAGAGCCCAAGGGTGGGTACTCAGTCCCATGGCCTTGGGACTCCAGTATGGCCAACCCCCAGAGCACTGGGCACCCCTCAGTTCACAGGGCAGGATACTGTGGGAAGGCCCCAGGGCCGACTGCTCAGGCAGCTACTCTGGCCTCAGGCTGTAGGTTGGTGCCCTTGGAGTGGCCAGTGACCTCAAGCTGAGGCCACTCACCAATCTATCTCTGGGCTGAATCTGCCAACCACTGGCTGGTGGCTTTCCAGATGACATGTACCCTGGTGACCTGCAGGACACATGTCACAATACATCCCTGTGGAGGCCTCAGCCTCCGCTCTGCTGGGCACAAGTGGGTTCAGGTGCTGGGCGGGCACAAGGGCTAAGGGAGGTGATCAGGCCTCCTTGCCTGAGGGCCTCCGGACTCTTTGGCACAATCCCCCAGGAGGGCAGCAGAGGGCGCTCCAAGCCTGCAGCTCAGCCTGATTCCTGACGCAACAGGGCTCTTGGGGAGGGAAAGGACACTGGGGTGGGGGAACAGAGCCCACAGCCCTTGGGAAAAGAAACAGAATGGGGCCCCCACACTCCTTATCTTGCCCTATGCCCTTTGGTGACCCCTGAATACCCCAATCCATGCTGGGCTGGGCACCCAGCAGGCTGGTGGGGGCAGGGATGGCATCTTGCTGGTGGCTGTCTCTGGGGAGGAGGTGCTAAAGCCTGCCCACCACTCACCTCAACACCATCATTAAGGTCATCACCCACCCGCCTCACTGCAGGATTCCTTTAGACCCCCACCTTCTGCCAAGCTGGGGCCCTGGACAGCAGGGTCCGTAGCCCTCAATTGGCCCCAAGAGAGTTTCTCACCTCCATCCCCAAGCCCAGTTTGCAGCTCCCTGTGCTTGCAGGAAGCAGCCCCCAAGGTCTTCATGGGGTCTCTGCTTCCCTGCAGCTGGGGGCACTGAGGCGTGGTGCCCGGGGGGCCTCCCTTTGGGCCCCAAGCAGGCTGGGCCAGCACCCCAGGGGCCTCAGATTTGTCCAGGATCAAGGTGATGGTGCCTGGCTCTCTACAAGTCCCAATCCTAGGGAACCCAGGGGCACATCTACAATTCTCTTCAAGAGCAGCTCTGTGCTGGATGTGGTGGTGCATGCCTGTAATCTCAGCACTCTGGGAGGCTGAGGCAGGACAGCTGCAAAGTTGAGTCCAACCTGACCAATTTAGCAATTTAGCAAGATCCTGTCTCAAAATGAAAAATGAAAAGGGTTAGGGGCATAGTGGTGCCAAGCTCCTGGATTCAATTTCCTGTACCCTCAGAAAATTTCTAGTGGAGAATCTTGAAGTAGTCCTGGCTCCCCCGAGGCCTGGCTGCTTTCCCAGGAATAGCTGCATTCCCCCCGAACTGTGGGTGTGATGAAATGGCAGAGGGAAGGGCAGTGTGGATCAGGGAAGTCCCTGAGAACATGGGATGCAAGCTGCACGCCTACACTGAGGCTAAGGTGGGAGGGTCCTCAGTCTCCGAGGAGCTGCACCCCACACTGCTAATCATGGCTCCACCTCCAGTCCTGCCAATGAGTGGGGTTTTTCCCAGGAGTTCTCAGGAGAACCTGTCCCTGGCCTGGAGTCACATGACAGGAAGGTGCCCATGGCACCAGTCCTGTGAGCTTGGGTGCAGCAGACTGGATGCCATGGCTTCTCCACTAGGGCCTGAGGCCTGAGCTGCCCCTGCAGACACTGTGTGCTGGGCAGAACCCTCTGAGGGCTGGGCACAGTGGCTAGGTCCGGTGGCTGTACTTGGCTCCTTGCTGAAGGATAGGACCCTCCCTTCTCTCTGGCACCCAAGGGGACAAGGGTGCCTCTGGTCTGTGGGGCCTTCTCTTTAGAAATGAGGCAGTGGCAGGCATGGGGGTACCTGTGGCCCATGACTCACAGGCTGCAGCAGGAGGATGGCCAGTTTGGGGTCAGCAGGCCACTTGGCAAGACCCTGTCTCAGAATGTAAAAGTAAACAGGGCTGGGGCCCAGCTTAGCGGACAGTGCTGGCCGAGCTCACACCAGGCCCTGCATCCAGGCCCAGTTCCACAAAGAACCGAGGCGACTAGGGTGCACAGGGCCTCGTGGGTTGTGGTCAAAGGAACCCTCGGCCCATGACCATGTCCCCCAACAAGGCCGAGAGAGTGGCATTCCATACACATGTCCTTGGCCACAGAATGTCTGCCTCCAGGAGGAGGTCAGGTCTGGCAGCACAGCCAGGCTGGCAACGGGCAGCACGTGGGCCAAGGATGCCTGGGGCCTGGAAGTCTGCACTGTCCAACTCCTTGTTCATGTCCAGCTCTGTCCCCACGTCCAGCTCCAGCCCTGCTCCACCCACGACCGCCCCATCAGCAAGACAGGAAGTGACTCTCATTACCAGGAATGCTGGGCGCAATCCCCACACCCTCGGGACCCTTGGATGAGCTTGGGTGTCCAGGTGTCCAGCTGATGATGGCTATCATTTCCTGGGAAGTTCCCCCCCCCCCCGCCCCCACCAGCTGCAGCCCTCCTTCAGCTTGGCTCTGTGGAGAGAGGCCAGGCTTCTCCCCAGGCCCAGCAGCAGGAAACATCACTGCCAGATGTTTGCTCTTTCCAAGGAACCAGAGGCCAGCATGAGGTGAGTAACGGGAAGTATTAACCCCTTTCCTTCCGATCCACAGCTCTCCAGGCTCATGTCCCAGCTGGTATGCAGGTCAGGTCCCGTGATAAGGCGTAGGGACATGAAGTGCCCCTGCCCAGCCATCTTGCCTCTGAGGGTGTCCTGGGGTACTGTGGATGACTATGGTCTAAGTGAGTCTTCCTGTTGCCCCTGGTGCCCTGTCCCCACCGTGGGCTTTCCTGGGGACCCTGCATTCCTGGTCCTTCTCCTTAAGTCAGGTTCTCAACACCCCTGGATACCCCTGACCACACCCTGGCCTTCCTTCATGAGACCCTGCCCACCCAGGACAAGGAAGTGGACATTGTCCACTTCCTTGGATTCCAGGAACTTATAAGAGGCCTTTGGTAGGGAAGAAGATGTGGCCAGCCCACCTACCGCATATGGCTTCTTCCCAGGGCCCCAGCCATGACCAGGGCCACTCCTGAAGTCTGTCATGTGGTCCTTGATGCCATGTGTCCCCTGACCACTGCAGAGAAGAACAGGGAGGGTGCTCTGGTCCAGGCCATGCATGCCTCTGCCTGCGATCTTCACAGTGTCCACAGTGCCAGCTTCCACATGGGACGTTCCAGTGAGACACATGTGTCCAGCCTTGGCCTTGGTCCTAGGTACCCGGGGAAGTTGACCATGGGTCTCAGGGGATGCAAGGGTCACATTCCCAGGATCGTATGAGGGTGGGCTTTGTGTTGACCTAAGATCCCCTAGGGCTTGAGGAGGGTGCTCGAGCCCCATGGCTACATTGAGGGGGTTTGGGGGGAGAGAAGGTGTTGCCCAGTTGGTTCTGGTTCCCAATGCCAGGAGAGCTCCCAAGACACAGGGGCCCCAATCAGCCTCAGAGCTCGCAGGCAGAGCAACCATCTTGAGCCTGGGGGCTGCTCCCCTGCTGTGGCCTTCAAGGGTCCCCAGGTGCCCCACACACACTACAGCTGCTTCTGCCATGTCTTTCCAACAGTGACGCCAGCCAGTCTCCTTGTCTGATTCTCACTGGAAATTTATCCCTCAGCTTTCAGTCAGGAGAACAAAGCAAATCAGGCTACGTGGAGGCCAGGAAGCTGCTGGCCAGATAGGACCCCTCAGCTTGTCCAGCTGAGGAGGAGGCAGTGGCTGCCAATGTCTCCACCCTCATGCATGAGTGACTGGACAGGGATCCAGCCCAGGAGGGGCGGACTGCACCAGAACCCAGGAATGCCCCCACACAAGCCCAGCAGCCTTCCTGCACACTTCCCTACTGATGTCCTCAGCAAGGCCTGGCACAGCCTCTGGCCCTGGGCACACCCAAGCCACCTGAGGGCTGTGGCTCTGCAACCTGGGACCCAACAGCCCCCTGGTGTGAACCGCAGGATATCACAGATGATGCCTGGAGAACTTCAATTCTGTGCCCCCGGCACAGGCTGGGAGCCCCTCCTGGCAGGGAGCCTGCACCTACTGGCTGACACAGCCTTGTCCCCTCCTGCACAGTCTGGGTGTCACCTGTATCAGCATCCACCCCGCAACCACAGCAGGCACCAGCAACCCAGCAGCCTTCCCTCACTGCAGGCAGAGTGCTGGGCTCCAGAATCCTTTTGCCTCCAGCCAGTCCTGTGACCCCACCTTTGGTTGGCAACTGTCCCCAACTCTGCTTTTGTCACCAGTACTATGACCCACTGCCAGCTAAGAACAAAAGGGAGTCCCTGCAGAAGACAGCATCAGGCCACTACTCCACACCCCGTGCACCATTTGCTCAATGCACTTTGTGGGTCAGGCAGCCCAGGAGGCTGCCCAGGTGGCTGCCCTGCCCAACCTCAGATTTGGGTTAACGCCCAGCTACTACCCACTAGGTGACTCAATTTTCAGGCTACAAAAGGGGCAGAGAGACAGGAGCTACACTGTTCCAGTGCCCAGCAGACCTCGGCCAAGCCTGGCCCTGGGCCAGACCACAGGGACCCATGGGAGCGGACCATGGAGACTGATGTTTGGGAGAGGACTCCTGCAATGAGCGCCCTGCTGTCAACATCCATGCCAACCCCATGTCTGGGGGGAGGTCACCATGGATACTGTGTGCCGTCCTGGGAAAACATGATTTTCCTTAATGAATCATGTAAGTTGGGAGGAAACCCACTGGCACTCAAGGCAGGAAAAAGCATCAAAAATGTCTTTGTCCATCAGATGCGAGGCAGGCTTGGGCCTTTGGTGTCCATAAGGATGGTGCCTTTCCTACCCACACCCAGGGAGGAGCAGACACTCCGGAATCTCTGTGGACAAGGGTGGGCCCTTTGGGCCCCAGGGCTACCCTGTCCTGTCTCCTGGATTCGGTTTCCTCTCACACAGGCTCAGCCGTCACCACACCCTTTCCAAAGGCCTGTGGAAATTCCCAGGACGTCTCTCCTCTTGCCCCAGGGAGACCTGGGGCAGATCTCTCCAGGGCAAACTCAACTCACTGTGAGACAGCAGGAAGGGTGACTGGGAGCAAGCTGAGCCTGCCTGCAGGAAGAAGGTGTGGTGTGTGAGCCAGAGACTCCAGGGGTGCGTTTTAGGGGGCCGACGGACAGCTCCGAGGTCAGGGTTGTATGTGCTCAGTAGCCGGGGCCTGCTCCTCTGGTCATTCCTCAGCCACAAACCTTGGAGCAGGTTGACCTGATGCAGTTTTCCCAACGGCTGAAGAGAGGTCCACCTTAGACCTTGGGCCCAGACAGGCCCTGGGCAGTGACCTACTGCCTGTGTGGCTCCAGGGACTCAGCCCTGGTCCCAGATTCCACACACACCTCCCTGTGGAGTTCAGGTGAGGTGCCAGGCAGGTGACCAGAGGGGTATCCTCTGAGGGGCTCCTGAGCCACTCAGAAGAGCAGGAAGACCAGGCAGGTCCAGAAGGGTCATGGGCACCATACTGGGTGTCAGTCCCCCAAGTCCTGGCATAACATGGGGCTCAGTGGGAATCTCTGTGGACAGCACAGAGGCTTTAGGACAGGTAGGGCACCTACCTACCTGAGGTGGGAGCTCTGAGTCCTGCTCCAGGTTCTGTGTGGCCAGGACAGTGACACCTCACAGCATCCCTGCTGTCCTGGGCAAACACACTTCCTTCCTCAGTCAAGGCCCTGCTGTCCCCTAGGGAGGACCCCAGACAGAGACCCCTGCCTGGCAGAGCCCTTGTCATCCTCACCTGGAGCCATCAGGGTTCTTGGAGCACGGTGTAGGGGTGGGGGGAGTCTTTCAGAAATGATTTTAACTGATGTATGAAACACAACCAACGTGGCAAGGGGAGGCTGGGGCATTTAAGGGCAGCACACACTGCAGTCTGAGACTGGCCAGCCTCGCTCCTCCTCACCCTGTCCATCTCCCCTTGGAGGACAGCTGTCTCCTCCCAAAGACCCTGGGAAAGGAGGAGAAAGGAGAAAGAGGAGGACAAGGAGACTGGGGAGAAGGGTGGGGGATGGAAGGGAGAGGAGGACAAGGGCAGTGGGGGGCTGCGGGGAGCCACCAGAAAGCTGGGCGTCCTGACCGAACTGGCCCATCTGTTCCTATCCACTGTGCGCTCAGGTGCCCAAGAGCCAGAGGTAGGGGTCCTTACCTTCCTTACCTCCCTTACCTTACCTACCTTTAGCAGGTCAGGGTGCAGATCTGGTCCCAGAGTCTGGGTTTCCTTCCTACCTGCCACCAGCTGGGACTAGGAACACATCTGAGGGTCAGGCCCCACCCTTCCCGCTGGCATCACCTGGGTTCCTGCTGTGCACCTGGCCACTGAGTTCTGAGCCCTCTCTACAGAGGTATCCGAGATGAGAAAGCCCTGGTTACAGGTTGCAGGACACAGTGGGCTTGCAGTCCCTCCCACAGATACACAGACACACACGGGAACACATGCACATAAGGAAGGACCCATGCACACTTGTGTGCACACAGGGCTGGGCTGCAGGGCTGTCTCACGCCCATCCCAGCCCTGTTCTCCAGAGGCCGGGGTCCATCTGCACCAGGACCCAGGTCCAGGGCCGAGGGCAACCAGGATGTGGATGGGATTGAGGGGCCCAGATGTTCCACCAGAGACCGCTGGACCAGCCCAGGTGGCCCTGCAGTGCTCCAGGGGCAGCTATGAGGACAGGAGGGAGGGTTAGAGTGAGGCAGAGCAGCAGGGGAGGGAGGGCATGCTCAGGGTGGGCAGACAGCACACTAGCAGGTGACAAGGACTTGGGCCCTCTGCATTCTCTCTAGTCCAGCCGCACCCTCAAAGACATCTGAGGCCAGGGATAGCTTCAGGAGCCCAATGCCCCCTGGGTGCCCAGGGCCCTGGCTTAGGGAGCTCCAGGCTGTGGCTCTATCTGCTCCAGGAGCATGTTCCACTCTGCACACCCTTCTTGGCTAGGCAAGGCGGGCAGCCGTGTGTGCCCAGGTGGGCCATGGCAGTGCCGCCTCCACACCGTCCTCCCCAAGCACCTGCCCAGCAGGCCAGGAACAGGCCCGGAGGCCCCCGCTTTGTCTCTGCACATCACGACGCATCATACTCTCTGGACCAAAGGCCTCACACTCAGATCCCCTCCGGTCCCAGCCTGTAAAGGAGGTGGCCTAGGTCAGAGCTGGCTGGAGTCCGTGTCCTGCAGGCGGCTCCAGGTCCACGCTGCATGGGAGCCGCAGCTGTACGGCACCACGTGGCATCTGTTGAAGCAGAGGCAGGGAGACAACGGCCATAGCAACAGCACGTGGGAGTGGGGAGGAGGATGGGCAACTCTCAGGCTGCAGCTGGGGGGTGTGAGTGAGCCTGTTTTCTAAAGGGTTTCTTCAATAGCAGCCCTATGGATACATCCACCCTGCTTTTGATAGTTAACAACTTTTTTGGCTGATACGGGGCAAGTGTCAACAGCTCTGGCACTTTTCTGGAATCTTCTCTGGGGCAAGGTTCTATCTGTCTTCCTCTGCTCTCCCCATCACTGGAGTCTCTGCACACACATACCCACATATGTACACATGCATGCACACATACACGTGCCCACACGTGTGCACACACGCTCCTATCCAGTGCTGCTCAACTCCGTGTACCACAGTAACATTCAAAAGTGATCTTCCACACTCTGTATGTGACTAAACTGTGAAGAAATATCCCCAGAAAAAGTAACCAGGCCTCTGAGCGAGTGGAGCAGAGGAAGTGGGCAGTTAGCTGGGGACAGGGATCTTTGGAGAGAGATGACCAAAACTGCCTCACAGGACTCCCTTTGGTCAGGAGTCCTTTCCAGGCACCTCACTTTCTCCACTGTGGGTGGGAGTGGTGGTCCTCAGCGTCCCACAAAGCCCTGGGAAGCAGACTCCGCTCCTGCCTGGGCAGAGGGGCTTCTGGCTTCCAGGCCGGGGAGGGGATGGATGCAGGCGGTGACTCAGCCTCCTGGGCGCCCGCCCTCCGCCCCGCCCTCCCTGCCTCCCAGCCTCCCAGCCTGGCTGTAACTGCAGTGAGGAAGGAGGCAGCTTCTCTCTCTCTCCCTGCGTCCCTCTGGCCTCCTCAACGGTGACCCAGGCCGGCCGGTGACATGAGGTTGGCAGGTGTCCTGCTGCCCCTGCTGCTGCAGGCCTGCTGGGTGGCCACACAGGACAACCAGATAGCTTCGAAGGCCATCGCCTTCCAAGGTGAGTACTGGGCTGCCGCTCCTTGCTGTTGTCCAGGCTGGGGGGGGAAGCTGGGGCTGGACACAGCCCAACGCTGGTTGTCTCCTCCCTCCTGGCCCACCAGCCAGGCCTGTGCTGCTCTCACTGCTTGCTTCTGGGGGACACTAGGCTGGGAGACACAGGGGGACCATGTGGAGGGGGAACTGAGAGCTGTGGTCTGGGCCATTTTCCTCTGCTCCAAGGACAGTGTCATGATGGGCAAATGCTGCCCACTTCCCTACTCCTTGCCTGCCTAGAAACAGGGTGACCTTTGCGTCCATCTTGCTGACGGCTATGCCCTTAGTGGTTTTACAACCAGCTTGGACACAGAAGGATAAGCCATCTATCTTCTCTGTCCAGTGTGGTCCCAAAATGCTGTCCTTCAAGGTTGGGGGCTGGGGGTTGCAGGCCAGGTGGGGTCTCATCCTCTCCATGTCCAGCTGTGGTCACCTTTCATACAGCTGGGTGCTGGGCTGTGGGGTTAGCCGGAGCCGCCCTGGGAAGGTGGAGGGTTCCTGTATCAGGAGGCACAGCTCACGGGATGCCTTGGCTCAGACTGCCCGGTGGACCTGTTCTTCGTGCTGGACACCTCTGAGAGTGTGGCTTTGCGACTGAAGCCCTATGGGGCCCTGGTGGACAAGGTCAAGAGCTTCACCAAGCGCTTCATCGACAACCTGAGAGACAGGTAGTGGCCCAGCCTGGCCATATCTCTGGCCCAGGGACCAGCAGGCAGAGGGGCTGCCCAACCTTCACTCACATCCACCAGTCAGAGGCCCAGGGGAAGGACAAAAAGGCGGCAGGTTCCAGGTGCTGCGTGGCTGAGGACAGGGCATTGCTGAGATGTACGCATGAGCATCCCCCACACAGAGCTGCCGTGCTCCTGAGCATTCTGGTGCTTAGGGAGTTGGGCCCAGTTGTAGTTGTGCACAGGGCCTGGGTCCCTGACCAGCCAGTCCAGCCCTGCCTGCTGCCCACACGATATCAGGGCCTCTACTGAGACCCAGTGCCCTTTCTCCCAGTGTCTCCAACCCAGGGCCTAGTAACCCCAGCCACCCCCAAATCTGTGATCACCAGGCATTTCCTGGGTGTAGGCAAAGCCACTGTGCCCTCTCACTCCCTCACTCTGCCTGTCTGTGGATTCGCAGCACTGGACGCTGGCTGGGGGCTGAGATAGGAGCTGGGAGGCCAAGGGCAGGAGGTCCCTGGGCCTGCAACATCTCTGCGATGGGGAGGGAGTTCCACCAGCACAGGCCCCTCTCTGGGTCCCCTCACCCCACTGGCCCTTGACCCCACTGGCTGGCTGACCCAGGCCAAACTTCCTGCCCATCAGAAGGGGCCATGGGAGTCAAGGGCACCTGTGGGACCAGTATAAACTGTTGGTCTGGGCTGGGACCCCTAACAGGGTACCTCTGTGATTGGCAGCCCCAGATCCACGGGAAGGGGAAGGCAGTGTGAATGGGGGCTGGGGAAGGAGAAGCTGAGCAGCCGTGTGGCCGGGCACCCCCTCAGGGTGTCCTCTGTGCCTTAACTCAGGCTCCTGTTTACCACCTGTGTAATGGGGTAGAGTGGTCTGCTGTACTGTCTCTGGAGATGCCCAGGGCTGGACTGGGCCCCAGCAGAGCCACTGGGACCCTACCTGGGGGACCCAGGTCCTTTTGAGTTGGCTTCCTGCCCTGGCTTAAGTCCCTAAGGGCCCAGGATGCCTAGTCATGCCTGTTATGCTGGCCTCACCCAGGTTGGGCCTCTGTGCAGGTGAGTGCGGGCAGTCAGTACATCCTCACAAGTGCCCGCTGGCCGGCCCCGCAGGTACTACCGCTGCGACCGAAACCTGGTGTGGAACGCAGGTGCACTGCACTACAGCGACGAGGTGGAGATCATCCACGGGCTCACACGCATGCCTGCCGGCCGCGACGAACTCAAGACCAACGTGGATGCCATCAAGTACTTCGGCAAGGGCACCTACACAGACTGTGCCATCAAGAAGGGGCTGGAGGAGCTGCTGGTGGGGTGAGTGGCACTATCCCCACCCCTCCCTGGTCCTCATGCCTGCCAAGCACCTTACTTCTAGGAAGGAACTGCTCCCCGATGTGGCAGGGAGGCCAGTGCTGCACAGAGCTGGCTTAGGCTCTCTCCTGGTGCCCTCACCTCTGGCTCTGGGGGTCTCTGTGCTGCCAGGCCTCAGGAGAGACACAGGGAGGGTCTCACATTGCTGCTCCCCAGGGGCTCCCACCTCAAGGAGAACAAGTACCTGATTGTGGTGACAGATGGGCACCCCTTGGAGGGCTACAAGGAGCCATGTGGGGGCCTGGAGGATGCCGTGAACGAGGCCAAGCACCTGGGCATCAAGGTCTTCTCTGTGGCCATCACACCTGATCACCTAGTAAGTGCTGCCCTCCCATGCCCGGGGTGCAGGCTGACCCTGCACTGTAGGAAAGGGGGTCACTGCCCTGGCCCCACTCACTCTAACCCTAACCCACCTGCACCCAGGAGCCACGCCTGAGCATCATTGCCACTGACCACACCTACCGGCGCAACTTCACAGCTGCAGACTGGGGGCAGAACCCTGACGCCGAGGAGACCATCACCCAGACCATCGAGACCATCGTGGATATGATTGTGAGCACCACCGACGCCGCGGGGTGGGGCCCTCGTGTCCTCCAGGGGGAGTGACTTGGCTTCTCTCTTATTGCAGAAAAACAACGTGGAGCAAGTGGTAAGGCTGCTCGCCTGCCTGCAGGGCCTGTTCGGGAGCCAGGCAGGCGCCCCTGAGGGCGGTGCCCCTGAAGGCGTGCATGTCCTTCAGGGCACACCTGTGTCCTGTGCACAAAGGTGGGAGTGTCCGAGCACATGTCCTGTGCACATGTGTGGCAGTGCGCCTGGGCATGTGTCCTGTGTTCATGTATGAGAAGTGTCTAGGTGCTGCATGTGTGGGAGTGGGTCCCAGTGCATACATGTGGGAGCGTGTCCCTGCATATCCCAGATGTGTGTGGGAGCAGGCCCAGTACACATCTGGGCACCTGTCCTGTGCACACATGTGATAGCGTGTCCAGGTATGTCCAGGCATGTCTCACCTTCTATATCTGACCACCTCTCTTCTTCCCCATAGTGCTGCTCCTTCGAGTGCCAGGTGAGTGTGGCCACTGCCCTCCCCACCTCAGCCCACGCCCTCTGCCTGGGTCAGGGCTGATGTCCCTCATGTCTTGCAGGCTGCCAGAGGACCTCCAGGGCCCCGGGGCGACCCTGGTTATGAGGTGAATGGCCACCCTAGCTCTGTTCATGGGGACACATGGGCTATAGTCCTGGGTGCATGGTCCTGAATACCAGCAGGAAGTCCTGTGGTGGCAGAGCTTTGGCCAGGTGTGGGCCATGGCCTGGCCTGAGTTGGGATTCCAAGACCCAGCACACCGACCAGGGACCATGGTCCCCCAAGGCCCAAGCTCTCCTTGGTGCCTGCTTGAGTCTGGGGAGCAGACTGCCTAAGTGTTGGGATGTGAAATGTAGGGCCTACATAGGATGACGGAGGTGGGGGCTCAGGGTCCCCAGATCCTGATGGCAGAGCTGCATGGCCCTGAGGATCAGGGGCAGAGGAGTGCTCTGTCTGAGGGGGGCCAAGTAGTCTCAGGGTGAGGACGTGCTGGCCAAGGATGTGCGGGTGAGAGTTCCAGAGCCCAGGCCAGGCCTGAAGCCACAGGCTCTGCACATCTTTATTTGTGTGCAAGCAGGGTCCCGTCCCTCCTTTCTGGAAATGGACAGAATTGCCCTGACCTATCTGTTCTGCCTCTAGGGAGAACGTGGAAAGCCAGGCCTCCCTGGAGAGAAAGGAGAAGCTGGAGACCCCGTGAGTGCCCAACACCCAGAGTGGGTGCTGAGAAACCTCCAGAGTCAGGGCTGGCTTCAGGGTCACCAGGCCATGCCTCCATCGGGGAGGGGCTGGAACCAGGGTCCGATCTCTGCTTTGAACCTGGACAGACCTATCAAATCTCCTCCCCACTGCCACTAATCCCCTTCAGTTGCCTGTCCCCCACCCGTCCTATCACCTATCCCTCCCTGGGCCATCTCTGGGTACCCTCAGGCACAGGAACCCTCACTGCAAGCCCCTGCCCAGGTTGCTCTGTGTCTCTCCAGCCTACCAGGCCTGGGCTACAGCAAGGAGAGGCTGAGGGGAGGATGCAGGTGTCTGATCATCTTCTCCTCTGTTCCAGGGACGACCCGGGGACCTTGGACCTGTTGGGTACCAGGGCATGAAGGTGTGTGTCCCCTGCCCCACGGCAGTCCATGGGTTCTATGACGTGGGTACGTAACCCCACAGCCATGACACCCACTCTCCCAATCCATTCTGTTTTTAGGGAGAGAAGGGGAGCCGTGGGGAGAAGGTACGCTTCTCCCCGCTGGATGCTGCTGGGACTTCCATCTGGAGGACGGCTGGGCAGATCCTCACTTCTACCTCATACCCAGGGATGGGCCCCTGGGGCCAGTAGGCACTGCATAGCACTATCAGTCCCACAGGGGCACCCCTGAGGGCTGAGGGCACCCTCAGCTCAGCAAGGCTTCGGCCCCCACATCCAGTCTGGATCCTTAGCAGGGTGGACGCCCTTGGATTTGGGGCAGCTTTGTGTCCCCGGGCCCTGGCAGCATTGCTGTGAGGTAGGACTAACTCCCACTCCCACCCTCACCCTCCCTTCCTGTCTCCACAGGGTTCCAGGGGACCCAAGGGCTACAAGGTGAGTGTGGGGTGAGAGTGGCATTCCCTCAAACAGCCTGACCTCACCCACCTTCATCTGACCTTCCTTTTGTCTTGGTGCCTCACAGGGAGAGAAGGGCAAGCGTGGCATCGACGGGCTAGACGGCATGAAGGTAACCCAGGGCGGCTGGGGGGGCCAGCAGTGACACTGAAGTGTCAGGGAGATGTCTCCCATGCTATTTGCTGCCCAGCCCCAGGTCCCATTGGGCCTTGGTGGACTCCCAGCTGCCCAGTTGAGATCCAGGTTCTGGGGCGAGGCTTCCCCTGAAAATGTGAGGGGCAGAGCCTGGCGGCTGCCTGCACTAACCACCCTGGTCACCTGTCCTGTCCCTGCCCTTCTCTTCCAGGGAGAGACAGGGTACCCAGGCCTGCCAGGCTGCAAGGGTTCTCCAGGATTCGACGTAAGTCACTTCTGTCCTTGGTTTGGGGGCCTTCACAGGTTTCAGGAATATGACTCTGGCCCTTCCTGTCGGCCAGGGAGTGACTATTGGAGGCCCTTGGGGCCTCTGCCCACTGGGGCCTGACCCTGTGTCCTCTCACCAGGGAGTCCAAGGACCCCCAGGGCCCAAAGGTGATGCAGGTGCCTTCGGACTGAAGGGAGCAAAGGTGAGCTGCAAGAGGCTTCAAGAGGGTCTTCCCATCCTGGAATCCAGGCTCTGGTGCTCCTGGGGGCCAGGTCCCCATGGCAGGCTCCTGTGGGGCAGGCAGGGAGTGGCTAGGTCTGGGGCTTCCAGTCACCTCTGACCCCAAGGGCCCAGCCACTTGCTGCTCAGAGCTAGGATGAAACAGCCACTGCACACCCACAGCCAGGCCTCACCAGATCCCTGTCTAGAGCCAGGACCAAGGGACCAGGGGGCTGCTGGCTGCCAGCAGGCCGAAGAATGTGGCTGAGCTACCTCGGGTGTTATCTGGGGCTTCTGGGAGGGCAGGAAGTGCCAGGAAGAAGGAGTTGGGCTCTGCCCCACAGAGCTGTCAGAGGTCCAGCCATGGACTTTGGGACCTGGCCTCAGACCTGCTCACTGCCCTCAGGGCCTGACTCTGGGGCTTGGTGTTTGGCCCCGGGTTTGGGGTGGTCCCTTGGGGTCCCAATGAAGCCGAGGTGCTCCTGTGTGACTGAGGATGTTGGGGTCCTGGGAGACCCAGGATTCATGTGGCTGTGGTCAGAGTGGCCTGAGGTCTAGTGAGGACTGTGGGCATGGGGTCCCTTGGCCCCAGTGTGACCCCATGGCTGCACCACAGCCCATGTGACCCCTGACCTGCCCTAGGGAGAAGCTGGAGCCATTGGAGAGCCAGGAAGGCCTGGGAGCTCAGGACCAGCAGGAGATGAGGTGAGGCCATTAGGATGAGGTGAGGCCATTAGGCAGCAGCCCTGTAGACTTGGGGCTCGGTGGGGCCACTCAGTGATTCTTGTTGCCCACAGGGTGAGCCTGGAGATCCTGGTCCCCCAGGAGAAAAAGGCGAGGCTGGCGATGAGGTGAGTGAGGCATTTGTCCCTCCCAGGCCACATGGGCTGGTGCCCAAACTGAAGCTGGTGTCTGTTCCTCTTCCAGGGGAACGCGGGCCCAGATGGCCCTCCCGGAGAGAGGGTGAGTCGGGCTGAGCTGCTGTCCCCATCACAGAGCCACTGAGAAAGCCACCCAACCTGGACTGTGGGTCTGTTTGGGGCACCGGGTGGCACCCGGGGAACATGAAGGCCTGGCTTCCATAGTGGCACCAGGAGGCCCGAGTGCAACCCCTGCCCGGCCCCAAATTCTCCCTGGCCATAGCTGCATGTGGATCCTCTGCACACAGGGTGGCCCTGGAGAGAGAGGACCTCGGGGGACCCCAGGTGTGCGGGGGCCAAGAGGAGACCCGGTGAGTCTGACCCAATGCAGGTCAGGTGTCGGGATCACAGGCCATGCCCTGTTGCCCCATGGGACCTGGGCTCCAGCTGCCTGCACCTCCACAGTACCAACCCAGCAGAGGCCAAGCCCCAGTTCCTGGCCCATCCTCCCCGGAACTGGGGCAATGGGAGCAAAACCAGCCATTGGGTGGCCACAACTCCCCTGCTTACCAGGACCCAGGGTTCGGCCTCTCCTCGCCTGCTGGCTTGTCCTTGTCAACACACTTCCGTGGGCACCCCTGCAGCCACATGGAACCAGAGCTCCCAGACCTGATCTACTTGCCTCACCAGCTGCCCTGAGGCCACCTTTCCAGCCCCTATGCTCAGGAAGACTCCTTCCTTTCCAGAGCCTGGATGATCTGAGTCAAACCCCGATGGGCCTGACTCGGACCTGGGGCAGGTTGCTCAGGGACCCCAGAGGCAGAGACCTGCAGCACCTCGGTGGTGGCCTGTTTACCTCCTTGTCCAGTCTGGCCTTGAGGGGATGCTTGGTTTTCTGTTCGCTGATCCAACAGTGAGGTTTTGCTGTGTGTGGCAGCAAGAAAGGAAGGGTGTCTAAGAACGCCGGTGCCTCCTCACACCCCCACCGGACTTCCAGCTGCTGCCACCTCATTTTGTCCCAGCAAGGTCACTCGGGTCCTTGCTGTGGCCACTATGGCCACAGATTCTCCAATATGGGGCAGAAGAGAGCTGGAGGCAGCAGGAGTGGCCCTGGCCTCAGGGCAAGTTCTGCCAGCTCTGCAGGCCTCTCGGGACAGAGCTGTCCCCAAGGCTGCAGCCCTGGGCCTCATTTGGCCAGGCCGGGAGTGGGCAGGTTGGAAAGGAGGTTGAGGAGCAGCCTAGCCCTGGCCCACCAGCCCCAGGTCCCTCCCTGCCAGCTACCTCACTTGCCGGCCACAGGCAGCTGTCTGTGGGACTGCCCTGCGACCTGACCTCCACTCACGGGCTTGCCTCCCCCAGGGCGAAGCTGGACCCCAAGGTGACCAGGGACGAGAAGGCCCTGTCGGCATCCCCGGAGACCCGGTAGGGTGCCCTCCACGCTGGGCAAGTCTCTTGGAACCACTGCAGTCTTGGGGCCATTTCCCGTGGGACCCTCCCACAAGGGCTGCTCCCCAAGGCTATGGGGCCCCCATGAGGGGACTCTGAAACAAGGTGCATAAGTCACAGAGACCAGACAGGTGGGCGGGGCACAGGGATGGGAGGATGGAGTGAGGAGAAGGCTCCTCGGCCCTGGGGCCGAGGGTAGTGGAAATGAGCACTTGGGCCTGGGGCGGGACCATGTGAGGTGCAGGTGCTGGCAACCACGCAGGGGAGGGGAGGAGAGATGCCCAGTGCAGAACAGGGTCTCCAGGGGCAGGAGGGTCCCATGGGAGGTCTAGAAGTGGGTGGGAGGAGAGGAGAATGCAACCTCTGAGAGGCTCCAGGGGAAGCCCTGGCTTCAGGCAGTAGTGGGGAGAAGGACATGGGATCCTGCAGCAGTTTCCGGGGCTCCTGACAGCACAAGGTCCAGGCTGCAGGGGGCAGGATGGGCCACATAGGACGTGTGGGCTGGGGGGGGGGGCGTGAGACTATGGGGCGGCTGGGGAGACGTTCTCTTAGTGGTCTGTGAGGGAGCCTGTGGTGCTCTGCTCAGGGCGTGGTAGAAAGTGCTGGCCATGGGAAGAGAGCAGCCACGTGGCTTCGTGCCATGACTTCACTCGTGAGGCAACAATGTCACAGAAGGAGTGAGGCCCAGTTCTCGGGCCCAGGGCTCTGAGGCACCTGCCAGACTCACCTGGCCATGGCACACAGGCCTCCTCTGTCCTCTCACCCTCTCTTATGCCCCAATGCTGCTCTTGGGGGCCAAGCTGGGATGGATGCAGTCCCGGGGCTGTGCGGGTAGGAAGCGGCCCGGCCCAGGGAACCAGCTGCCCGTGCGTCCTAGGCAGGGACAATGACACTATCAGCACTTCATGGCTGTTTGTGGACAAGGTGTAAAGGGCAGGCTGGAAGCACTGAGGGTGTAGCCAAGCATGGCCTTCTTGGACTGAATGCCCAGTGCCAGTCCTGGGGATGGATCTCTGATCTGGTCACAGCTGTGGGGCACAGGTGCCAGCTTCCCACAGGGCATTGTGGGTTCTGGGGCTGTCATGGGGGTGCAGGGGTTTTGTGAGTCATGATGGGGCCTCAGGACAGACAGCCAGGGCCGCAGCAGGAGGAGGGACACTGCAAGGGGACCAGGCAGTGGTCTGCCCACTTCTGGAGTTGTCCCATCACTGTGTGGCTGGGGAGATGTAAGGAGGGGCTGAAGCCTCAGGCAAGTGAGGTTCGAAGTGTGGGTCAGGGTCTCACCATGCCCATGAGAATCCTAGAGAGGGCAACCTGGGAATGGCAGGTGGTGATCCAAGAGGGCCTGCCTGGCCACTCCTGGCTTTGGTGCCCAGTGCCATCAGGGCAGCTCAGCAAGGCCTTCTGGGGATGAGGTCCTCCTGTGCCCCATCCCAGGGATGTGGGGGACAGTGTTGGGATCCTCAGCTCAGGCCTAGGGGTGGCAGTGAGGCCTGGGGTCCCACTGTGTCTCCATCCCTCAGGGTGAAGCTGGACCCATCGGACCTAAAGGATACCGAGGTGACGAGGGCCCCCCAGGGCCCGAGGTAAGTGCTGCCCTGCCCTCCCAGCCCAGAGGAATGCACTGGCCACAGTGCCCTTCCCAGCTTTTCCCTATCCTGAAAGGCTCTGTGCCCCACCCCACATTGTTTGGGACTTGGCTGTCACCCCTCCCACTCCTTAGGGTCTCAGAGGAGCCCCAGGACCCGCTGGACCCCCTGGAGACCCCGGACTGATGGGTGAGAGGGTGAGTGTGGGAAGCACAGCCTCTTGCAGGAGGGTCTGTCGGGTCTGCAGCAGCATGGGCTACAGGAAGCTCCTGAGGGCAAGGACACTTCCAGCAAGCCATGCCTGAGAGGAGCACCGGAGGGAGCAGTGTCTCCACTGGCTCCCAGCCACAGCAACTCTGCTCTGCTCTCAGGGTGAAGATGGCCCCCCTGGAAATGGCACCGAGGGCTTCCCTGGCTTTCCTGTGAGTATCTCCAGAACCCCCATGCCCATGCCCCTCTTGCCCCCCACCTCAGCCACCTGGCACTCAACCCGGGGATCTGGTGGGCGGTGAGACTTTGGCCAGAGCTGCAGCGTGCCCTGATGTAACCAGTCCTGTCCTCCGCAGGGCTATCCTGGCAGCAGGGGCCCCCCAGGGCTGAACGTGAGTACACCCACCCCCTCTACCTGGCCACACCTGTACACACTCCCAGCATGCATGTGCATGTGGACATTTACACATGGACACACATGTGTGCCCATACAGTGTTCATGTCCACACATGCACAGATACACACTCGACCACACATGTCGGCATTCATTCCTGAGCATGCGTGTGTGGACATGCAGCACACAAGCCCACACCCGTGCACATATGCAGACACGTGGCATGCACATGTGTCAGTGTTCACTCATCTGTGACCCAGGCTCCCTCCCCAGGCCTTGGGGACTGTCCAGCCATGAGTCCAGCACCTTCTAACACCACCCCCAGGTGCTGCTAACCTGCTCTGTCACCCATAGGGCACGAAAGGCTACCCTGGCCTCAAGGGGGACGAAGGCGAACCTGGGGACCCTGGAGAGGACGTAAGTGGGGGGGGGGGGAGTGGGACAGAGCCATGGTGACACCAAGTCAGCCAGGCTCCCTGGGCCGGGGGTGTGGTTGAAGAGGGAAGGAGACAGCACGCTGCTCAGAGACAGCAGACAGGTGACTCCACACTGCTTCCCTGCAGAACAATGACATTTCACCCCGTGGGGCCAAAGGGGCAAAAGGCTACCGTGGTCCAGAAGGCCCCCAGGTGGGTGACACACTGCACCCCCAGACCCCGGGACTACACAGGGTGGGGGGCTGGTGGAGACTTGGGGACTCCATGGGGTAGAGGCAAGCACTACACCCCATGGACTGGTGGGGAGGAGATGCAGCCAGAGCAAGGGTGACCCTTCGGGCAGCAAAGCCAGGCCCAGGGTGGCTGCAGACCCTAGGCCAGCATCCCCGTCTATCCAGGAAGTGGCCACAGCCCCCATGGAGGGAGGTGACCAGCCTGGCTGGGACAGGTCACTGACCCTTGGTGGACCCTGCTCAGCCCTGTCTGTCCTTGCCCTGACAGGGTACCCCAGGACACGTGGGACCACCTGGACCAGATGTAAGTGGTGTCTGAAGGCATCCCATGGCATGGCCACAGGGCCATGGCCCATGAGGGCTCCCCTGTGGGACAGCTGTGGGGGGCCTGGAGGCCACAGGGGACATGAGGTGACAATGGGACATGGGATGATACTGGAGGCCATGGCCATGGAGATACGGGATGGCCACAGGGCACAGGATGACTATGGGGGACACAGAGGACACAGGCCCATAGGAACATGGGATGGCTGCAGGGGACACTGCCATGGGGACAGGCAGGTGAGGGCCGTGCATGGGCTGTGCTCAGTGGCAGGCTCCAATGGGCGATCCCACACACCCTGGATGTGAGATGCCCCATCTAACCCCAGTCCGTAGAGACCCCAGGGTGTCAGGGAGGCCTGGCCCAGAGCCTGCTGACCTCTTGTCCCCCCAGGAGTGTGAGATTTTGGACATCATCATGAAGATGTGCTGTGAGTGTCTGACTGGGAGGACGAGCCCTTGCCAGCCCCTCATTGCGCCCTATGAGGATCTCTGGTCACCCAGGGGGTGGGCAGTTGGGCAGGCAGGACCTTGGCCCTCAGCACCACACACAGGGGAGAACTGGGCCACTGAGCCTGCTGGGCAGAACCCAGGGGAGGCCGGGGCGGGCAGCCATGAGCAGCAGCCGCACTGAAGCCTTCTTCCCTGCCAGCCTGCTGCGGTGAGTGTCCCTGTGCTCCGGGCCCCTGCACTTCAAACCTCCGGGCAGAGACACTTCGGTGGAGGGAAGCCATCTGCAGGCACAGAACAGCAGCTGAGCCCTCAGGGTGCTGACCCCTGAGCCCACAAGCAGATGCCCCCTGGGGCTGCGGCCTGCACAGCCTGGACACCATGCCCTGTTCTCTCTACACAGTAACCCAAAGGGCCACCTCACCAGGCCGGAGTCAGCCTGGTGCTGCTCATCCACTGTCCTCAGGGGTCTGGGTTAGGGTGGGGTGGGCCAGGAAGCAGTAGCCCCTTCATCCAGTGTCACTGAGTGGACATGCAGCCTGGAACTGAGGCTGACCCCGCAACCCACCCGCCTACCCACCCACAGAGTGCAAATGTGGCCCCATCGACATCCTCTTCGTGCTGGACAGCTCGGAGAGCATCGGCCTGCAGAACTTCGAGATCGCCAAGGATTTCATCATCAAGGTCATTGACCGGCTAAGCCGGGATGAGCTGGTCAAGGTGAGAAAATGGCTATGGAGCCAGCCCGGGGAGAAGCCGGGCTGCGCGTCCGTCCAGGCTGTCCATTCAGGACATTGCGCTGTCCTCTGTGAGGCTCAGGGCTCCCCCAGGGGTTGCTTGGGATCCTGAGGGGAGGCTTCGTGGGGCCCGGGCAGCGCCCAGCTGAGCAGCACCTCGATGCAGTTTGAGCCTGGCCAGTCGCATGCAGGCGTGGTGCAGTACAGCCACAACCAGATGCAGGAGCATGTGGACCTGCGGAGCCCCAACATCCGGAATGCTCAGGACTTCAAGGAGTGAGGGGCACCGCCCGCAGCCTGGGGTGGGGTGGGGTGCCCAGCCCCAGTCCCAGCCCCAGCCTCACCCCGCCCCTCTGCCCCCAGGGCCGTCAAGAAGCTGCAGTGGATGGCAGGCGGCACGTTCACGGGTGAGGCACTGCAGTACACACGTGACCGGCTGCTGCCACCCACCCAGAATGATCGCATCGCCCTGGTCATCACCGATGGTCGCTCAGACACCCAGCGGGACACCACACCCCTCAGCGTGCTCTGCGGCCCCAACATCCAGGTGGGTGGCTGGGCCAGCCCAGAAGCAGGGGCTTCTCCCCCAGAGGGGGGGTCAAGGCCACACCAACTCCCGCTGCCCTTCCTCCTCAGGTGGTGTCTGTGGGCATCAGGGATGTGTTTGGCTTTGTCGCGGGCTCTGACCAGCTCAACGTCATTTCCTGCCAAGGCCTATCACCCCAGGGCCGGCCGGGCATCTCCCTGGTGAAGGAGAACTACGCGGAGCTGCTGGAGGACGCCTTCCTGAAGAACATCACGGCGCAGATCTGCATAGGTGGGCCAAGTGGGCTGCCACACTGTCCCTTGCACTGGGGAGCCCCCCTTCAGGGGCACTGCTGCCCCTCCCCCCCACTGCCTTGCTCGTGCCTCTGGGCTCTTGCAGCTCATCCCTCTGCCTTGACCCTGCAGGCAGACAATAAGCAAGAGGTAAGCAGCAAGGCCAGGACTCCTGGCGTGCAGGCTGCCCTCCTGCTTGAAGCCTCAGTTTCCCCACCCTCAGAGTGGCTGGGGCTCTGCCCCACCCCAGCGGGTTGGGAGCAGGGCAGAAAGTGTTGTGTGGGGTATGGGGCACTGCTGCATGGGGCACAGTGGTTCACATCCTGGTCTTCTCCTTGCAGACAAGAAGTGTCCGGACTACACCTGCCCAAGTGAGTAGCACGGTGGGCAGTGGGGGTAGGGGGATTGTGGCCCTGCCTGCTGCAGGCAGCCTCAGATGGGCCACCTCCACCATGGACACTCACAGCTGCCCACCCTGTCCACAGTCACATTTTCTGCCCCGGCTGACATCACTATCATGCTGGATGGCTCAGCCAGCGTGGGCAGCCACAACTTCGAAGTCACCAAGCGCTTTGCCAAGCGCCTGGCTGAGCGCTTCTTATCTGCGGGCCGGGAGGACCCCACAGTGGATGTGCGCGTGGCAGTGGTACAGTACAGCGGCCCTGGCCAGCAGAGGCCCGGGCAGCCGGCCTTGCAGTTCCTGCAGAACTACACAGTGCTGGCCAGCGTGGTGGATGGCATGGATTTCTTCAATGACGCCACCGATGTCAACGATGCCCTGAGCTTCGTGACACGCTTCTACCGGGAGACCTCCTCAGGTGCTGCCAAAAAGCGGGTGCTGCTGTTCTCAGATGGCAACTCACAGGGCGCCACAGCAGCGGCCATAGAGAAGGCGGTGCAGGAGGCACAGCGGGCGGGCATCGAGATCTTCGTGGTGGTGGTAGGCCGCCAGGTGAACGAGCCTCACATCCGGGTGCTGGTCACCGGCAAGACAGCCGAGTATGACGTGGCCTTCGGTGAGCGCCACCTGTTCCGTGTGCCCGACTACCAGGCCCTGCTCCGCGGAGTCTTCTACCAAACGGTCTCCAGGAAGGTGGCGCTGGGCTAGGGTGGCGGCACACGCTGCACCAGGATAGCCTCCCAACTCTGCCCACCAGGACCAGATGGACCATGTGACCTGAGCTTTCCTGATTAGCTAGACATTTTTAAAGGCAAGGCTTGCTGTCCACACCGACATGCATGCTTCGGGTGACCTCACCCTTGGCTGGCAGAGCTGGTGTCTGGGTCTCCTGCCCTCACATGGACTCGCCTGCCTCTAAACCACCTCTCAGACCTCGCACTGCTTTCTTTCCACTCCCTGCCACCCCTCCTCAGGACTGGCTTCCTTACCAGTCCTGCCAGAACCTTCCTTGCAGTTCTTGCAGAACTACACAGTGCTGGCCAGCGTGGTGGATGGCATGGATACTATACTCAGAGCAGACCCTGAGCTAGTTCAGGTGAAATGCTGCACTGTGTTTCATTTTTGGAAAACCAAGGTCAAGGTCAAGAGGATTTTCAAACACAAAGCATGAGGGATCAGGTCCTCCCAACAGGGGCTCATAGTGGCCTAATGAACCCTGATCCCAGGCCTCAGACATCCATTGCTCTCGACAGGCAGCGGGACACTGGCACTGCAGCTGCTTCTTACACCCCTATAGCAAAGGTGCTGCCCGCAAGGGCCCCACACTGATGTGCAGGGCTGGTCTGGACCAGACAGCCAAAGCTTTCTCAGAAACGACTCGAAACTCTCTCTCCTCCAAGTAGCAGCTAGTCTTGTGTTTCATTGAAGATTCTTTTTAGATCTATTTTATTTCTACTCCTCCTGTGTTTTTTTTTTATCAGTCCTGTCCATGTCAATGACTTCTGCTAATAAAAGTTCCCACTTCTTTCTGTGGCTCTTCTCTGTCATCTGCCCAACCACGGCACCATTCCTGAGAAGCAGATATTAGACACGAGCCTTCAGCACCCGGCGGGGGAAGTGCTGCCTCTGTGCATTGGTCAGCTCAAAAATGCTCCATGCACAATGGAAAGAAAGATTTTTGGTTCATGGTTTCACAGGTTGCAGTTCATGGTCTGGCTTTTGAATGCAGAAATATCTGGGGGAAGGATGCGGTGGAAGAGAGCTGCCTACCTCATGATGGGCAGGAAGCAGAGTAAGCAGAACAAGAGACCCAGAGAGGACACGACCAGGGCCAAGATGACCTCTTCCAGGACTCCTCTCATGACCTCCTTCCTCTCGCTGGTCCTACCTCCTAACAGCATGTTTAGCTGTACACTCACCAATAGCTTAAGCCACCAATGTGGTTATTACCCCTGACATAATAACCTTCCAAAAGTCCCACCTCTGAACACATGACACTTGGGGGACATTTGAATCCATACCATAAGACTTGGAGGCAGACACAGGGACACGAAGATCTTACTACACCTGCAGGCAGCAGTGTAAGGAGCACCCAGCACTTCAGGCCACAGAATTAGAACCCAATCAGATTAAACCCCAAAGGACCAGCAGTGGCAATGTCCTGACAGTAAAACACTCCAGGCGAATAAAAGGGGAATCAGGGTCCCTAGGCCTTGAGGGAGATGCTAGGGAGGGTAGACGTCACTAGAGCAGGTTGACAGTTGGCCTTTGGGGCCAGGCCTTGGGCCATTGTCAGGAGATGGCTTCTGGAAAGAGTTGCAAAAGCAGTAGAGGCTACACAGAAGCAGATATGGACAGTGTCAGAGGGAGAAGTTTGTGGTCATTAGACTCCAGGTTTCTGCTGCTCAGCTCCCCAAGGAAGGAGACTTCAGGGCAGAAGGAGAAGGTAGGGGACCAGTTAATGAGGACATGCAGCCTAGGGACAAGGGGCTGGGCATAGGGACACCCCTCATTTGAGTGCTTACCATAGAAAGACCTTGAGAGCCCAGCACCCCCACCAAAGTGCCAGGGCCCACTCTGCCTAGGTGAGGAGCAAGCATCCCTAGTAGAAATGGGGGGGGGGGAAGAAGGTACTCACATGTGACAGAGGGGAGCATCCTCTGGGGCTGTCCCCATCCTAGACCACCTACAGCCCAGACAGCAAATCCATCCTGCAGCTTCTTCTGGGTTAGTGATATGGCCATGGCCACTTGAGAGAGCCGTGGGCAGCCCAAGGTCCTCCCGAAGTGGAAAACCCAGCCAAGGGACAGAGCCACCTGGATGTGCTCACCATGGCTGCAGCCCCTCTCCCATAGGAGCTAAGACAGAAGACAGAGACTTCCAGGAGGGCAGTTTAGGGGCGAAGTGCCTGTGCCAGGAAGGGCACACCTGCCTCAGTGTCCCCTGGAGGGTTTGCCTTCCTTGTTTTGCTTTTTCTTTTTCTCTTTCTCTCTTTTTGATTTTTTAAAAAAATTAAATTTTATTTTTTTCCAAATCCATTTTATTTCAAGGATAAATAAAATTAAGAAAAAGAAGAAAATAGAACAAAATTTCAAAAAACGTCAATCAGAGGTAACAATGGTATTGTGCAATCTGGGGACAATGGTATTGTCCCCAGATCATTCACCCAAAGCACAAGGCATCTGTGTTCAATCATCCAAACAATAGCCACACAAAACCTTCTCTTAGATAAACTCAAAGAAATCAGTAGCATGACTATCATATACATATACATATAATTTTTCCTTTCAGCTTCTCACGTTAATGAAACAATACAATGTTTAGATATGTGTCTTTTTTTATCTCACTAATGAGTAGGTTCTCAAATTGCATCCATTTACTTACAAGTCTCCAGATTATTCTTCTGTATGATTGAGTGGTACTCCATTGTATTAAAAAAAAAACACACACATCTTTTTTATCCATTCCTCAGTCAGTGGGGATTTGAGTTGTTTCCAAAGTCTGGCGATTACAAACTGTGCTGCTATAAACATGGTGCACATGTATCACTGTGGCTTGATGTTTTTAATTCTTCTGGGATGGTATCCAGCAGGGGATAGCTGTGTGGAATAGGACCTCCAATTCTAGTTCTCTGAGGGATCTCCACACTGACTTCCACAGTGGTTGCACCAGTCTGCATTCCCACCAACAGTGAAGAAAGGTTCCTTTTCGCCCACAGCCCCTCCAGCATTTGTTATTGCTTGATTTCTTGATAGTAGCCATCCTTTCAGGGATAAGGTGCAATCTCAGGGTTGTTTTAATCTGCATCTTTTGAATGACCAGTGATGCTGAACATGTTTTCAGGTATTTATTTGCTGTTTTTATTTCTTCATCTGAGAAGTGTGCATTCATCTCAGATGCTCATTTTTGGATTGGGTCTTTAAATCTGGAAGGACTGATTTTTTTTTTTTTTGAGTTCTTTATATGTCCTTTGACTGAGGAGCTGCTGGCAAACGTTTTCTCCCATCTTGTGGGTTGTCTCTTCACTCTCTTGGTGGTTTATCTTGCTGGGCAAAAGCTTTTAAGTAGGGTGAGATCCCAGTTGTTGATTCTTTGTGACAGTTCCTGTGCAATTCAGGTTTTATTCATAAAGTCTTTGCCTACCCCAGTGTCTTCAAGAATTTTACCTACTCTATCTTCCAGAAGATTTAATGTGTCTGTTTTAATATTAAGATCTTTGATCCATTCTGATTTTAACTTAGTACATGGTGACATATAGTGTCCAGTTTTAATCTTCAGCAGTTTTTCCAGCACCATTTATTAAGGAGGCCATCTTTCTTCCAGTGAATGTGTATGGCACCTTTGTCAAAGACAAGGTGGCTTAGTGTGTCTATAGTTGTTTCTGCATCTTCTAATCTGTTACATTTATCTTTGAGTCTGTTTTGCTTTGCCAGTACTGTGATAAAGTTACTTTTATCACAGTAACTTTAGAGTATAATTTCAGGTCAGGGATCGTGATATCTTCTATCTTGTCTTCGTTACCCAGGATGGCCTTTGCTATTCTAGGACTGTTCTGAGTCCAGATGAATTTTAGATTCTCTAATTTTGTGAGATGTGCTTTTGGAATTTTGATTGGGACTGCACTAGATCTGTATAACAGCTTTGGAAGTATGGCCATTTTCACTCTATTGGTTCTTCCTTACCAGAGCATGGAATATCTCTCCATTTTCTAACATCCTCTTCAATCTCCTTTTTCAGTGTTGTAGTTTTCAATGTAGAGGTCTTTCACATCCTTTGTCAGATTGGTTCCTAGGTATTTCTTTTCTTTTCTTTTCTTTTCAGATGCTATTGTAAAAGGTTGTTTCCCTGATTTCTCTCTCAGTGTTTGTTATTCATGTACAGGAAGGTTATTGATTTTTGAGTGTTGACTTTGTAACCAGCTATGTTACCAAGTTTGCTTATTAAATCTAGGAGTCTTTTGATGGATTTATGGGGGTCCTTTAAGCAGAGTATCGTGACATCTTCAAGTAACAATAGTTTAACTTCTACCTTTCCTACCTTTATTATTTTTATTACTTTCTGTTGTCTAAGTGCCCCAGCTAAAATTTCCAGGACTGTGTTGAATAAGAGTGGAGACAGTGGACATCCTTGTCTTGTTTCTGATTTTAGAGTGAAAGCTTTCAGTTCGTGTCCATTTAGTATAATGTTGGTTGTTGGTTTATCGTAGATGGCTTTTATCAAACTGAGATAAAGACCATCTGTTCCAATATTTTGTAGGGTTTTTATAATGAATGGGTGCTGGACTTTGTCAAAAGCTTTTTCTCCATCTATTGAGATGATCATACAATTTTTGTCCTTGGCTCTGTTAATGTGGTATATTACATTTATGGATTTATGTATGTCAAACCATCTCTGCATTCCTGGAATGAATCCCACTTGATCATGGTGTTCAATCTTCTTGACGATTTGCTGTAGTCTGTTTGCCAGTATTTTACTGAAGATTTTTGCATCAGTGTTCATTAGGAAGATTGGCCTGTAGTTCTCTTTGTTAGTTGGGTCCTTCTCTGGTTTTGGAATCAGAGTAATGCTTCTTTCCAGGAAAGAATTTGGGAGCATTGCTTCCCTTTCGATTTCATCAAAGAGTTTGAGAAGTAGTGGTGATAGATCTTCTCTAAATTTCTTGTAGAATTCAGCAGTGAATTTGTCAGGGTTCAGGCTTTTCTTTGTTGATAGGCTTTTAATTACATCTTCAATTTCATTTATTGATATTGGATTATTTAGGATTTTTATATCTTCTTAATTCAGCTTTGGTAATTCATATGTATCTAGGAATCTGTCCATTTTTCTGTGTTTTCCATCTTGTTAGAATACGTTTTCAAAGTAGATATAGATGATTTTCTGGATTTCTTCAGGGTCTGTGTGATTTTGCCCTTTTTATTCCTAATTGCATGGATTTGAGTTTCTTCTTTCCTTTTTTTGATAAGATTGGCTAAGGGTTTGAGATTCAACATTAAGTTGTTTACTTGTGTTTGTTCTGTTTTCCTGATATGGTTATTTACTGCTTTAAATTTCCCTCTTAAGACTGCTTTCACGGTGTCCTGCAAATTCTGGCATGTTGTATTGTCATTACCATTCAACTGTAGAAACTGCCTCATTTCTTCTTTAATTTCATCTGTAATCTATTGGTTGTTCAATAGGGTGCTATTTAATTTCCATGTTTTGATGACATTCTTGTGGTTTTCTTTGGCATGGAAGTCCAATTTCATTGCTTTCAATGGAGTTTTTTTCTCCTGTATATCTGCTTGAATCTGCTTTATAGATTCCATTTCTTTCCTACGCTAAGCTTCCATGATTTGCTTAAGTTTGTCTATTTTTTTGTCTGTGTTTACTCTAGCATCACTAAGCATGATGTGTATCGTATAATTTCTGTAGTTATCTGAGAGATTATTTCTGATTTAATTTTTCCAAATCCTCTTTCAATTTCTTTGTTGTTTCCATTTCAAAGAAACCTGGTGGAGGGCTTTCAGATTGTCCCACCGCATTGCCCC